CCAAGTGCTCTGTGGATCGTCAGCTCAGCTCAAGCTTGGTGTAAAATGGGTATTTACCCACTTTCAGTCACTCTTGCTCTTGGTGTGTACTGGATATTGACTTTTGCACCTTTCAGCCCTACAGTAACCGTGGGAGGTGTCATCAGGACCAGTTTTAACATCATCAAAGAGGCTCCCTAACAGATGAAAAGGCACAAAGGGCTCCAGTGTTAACCAGAAAGCACTCACTTGGCACTTTGGCTTTGCCCATTGGGTCACACTGCATCACTTCACTCAATGCTTCCTTCATGGCAAGGAGTAACTGTGAGCACAGCTTCCTGCATCCTCTACTCAGTGCTTAGAGCTGAATGGAAGCTGTTAACTCAATGTCCTTCCAGGGCCATGGAAACAATTCCACATGGAAATCTCCATCCCCCTTTGGAAAGCCAAGTCCCTTCGTGCACTAACACCGGGTTTTGACCTGGTTATCAGCCCCAGTGCATAAATCCTGCCTTATTCAAGCCCAGCTTTCCTATCAGGATTCACATGACTCCCTCACACGGGGTCTGTCTCCAGCTGGGACAAGAGGTGCCTTTCCTGGGATACACACCTGGATCACAGCTCTGCTGGATGACCTTGGCCAGCCCTCAGCAGCGTCCTTCATGTTCCTCATCTCAGCACCGAGCTTCCCTTCATCCTAATTGTTGGCAGTGTGTGCTTGCAGCCCAGAAACCAACCGTATCCTGGGCTGCATCCAAAGGAGCGTGACCAGCAGGTCCAAGGAGCTGATCCTGCCCCTCTGCTCTGCTCTCGTGAGACCTCCCCTGGAGCATTGTGTGCAGTTCTGGTGTCCTCAGCATAAAAAGGACATGGAACTGTTGGAACAAGTCCAGAGGAGGCCACGAGGATGCTCAGGGGCTGGAGCAGCTCCTGTATGGAGATAGGCTGAGAACACTGGGGCTGTTCAGCCTGGAGAAGAGAAGCTGCGTGGAGACCTCAGAGCAGCTTCCAGTGTCTGAAGGGGGCCTATAGGGATGCTGGGGAGGGACTCTTCATTAGGGACTGCAGTGACAGGACAAGGGGTAATGGGTTAAAACTGAAACAGGGGAAGTTTAGATTGGATCTAAGGAGGAAATCCTTTCCTGTGAGGGTGGTGAGGCACTGGAATGGGTTGCCCGGGGAGGTTGTGAATGCTCCATCCCTGGCAGTGTTCAAGGCCAGGTTGGACGAGGCCTTGGGTCCCATGGTTTAGAGCGAGGTGTCCCTGCCCATGGAAGGGGGTTGGAACTGGATGATCTTAAGGTCCTTTCCAACCCTAACTATTCTATGGTTCTAATGTAATTCCTAGCCCTGCTCAGTGAGGATCCGAAAGGTCTTTCCCCACCTGGTCCATTGGAAGCATGGGAATGTCTGTGGGGATGCAGAAGCACCGGTGGGAAAGAAGAGGGTGAAGGGATTGGAGCTCCCTGGGTCTCATCTGCTCGGGGATGCTCCTGTTTCACACGAAGAAGAGCTGCTGGTACCTGGGAATAAGAGGTTAACATTGTGCTTGGTGAAGCAGAACTGTAGGAGTTACAGGCAGCAGTGTAGCAGATGGGATTCACAGCTTCACATTGAAGACATCCTTGTTTAAACAGGATCCCTCGAAAGAAAAGGAACAGAAGAGAACCAGAGGAACACCACTGCAAGCTTGACAAGTTCCTGCTTTAAGATACCTAAACCCAGCTTGCACCAAACCCGGGGTTTGGATAGGAGCTGCAACCCCATTGAGTCTGTGTGAAGGCAAGGGGTTACCCATGGTGACAAAGAGGAACCACAGGCCTTCATCCTCACGACCCCCACCAGGAGGCACTGTGCAAGGGCATCCATGGGGTGAATGCCAGCAAACTAAATCCAGGCATAGGTTTTGCATATGTTTAGGTGATCATTGTATGTGCTATTCACAACCTGAGTGGCACAGGAAGGGCCTTTGGAGGAGTGATCCCCATGTGCCTCAGTGCTGAATAGAGCATCCCTACGTTACAATCAATGGTGGAGTCTACCCATGTATCAGCAGGAGCACCGGTGGGAGAGGAGAGGGTGAAGGGAATGGAGCTTCCTGGGTCTGGTCTGCTCAGGGTGTTCCTGTTTCACACGAGGAGGAGCTGCCGCCTGTATTCCATGGGGATTCACCTTCACCTCCTGCCTCCAGCTCTGCCACCTGAAAGCCAACACCATTGTATGACCCCTGCACCTTCTGCTGCCCAGCACTGGGCCATCACCTCATAGAAACCCAGCCTGGTTTGGGATGAAGGGAGCTGAAAGCTCCTCCAGCTCCAACCCCTTCCACTGGAGCAGGGTGCTCCAAGCCCCTGTGTCCTTGAGCACTGCCAGGGATGGGGCAGCCACAGCTTCTCTGGGCACCCTGTGCCAGCGCCTCAGCACCCTCACAGGGAAGAGCTTCTGCCTAAGAGCTCAGCTCAGTCTCCCCTCGGGCAGGTTCAAGCCATTCCCCTTGGCCTGTCCCTACAGGCCCTTGTCCCAAGCCCCTCTCCAGGTTCCCTGCAGCCCCTTTAGGCACTGGAGCTGCTCTAAGGTCTCCCCTTCAGGAAACCTCTTGAGGAAAGCCACCCCATAGAGAATAATTGAAACCGATGTGGCCTATTGTGTACAGGGGGGTTGTACACGGGGGTACTGCTTAAGTTATAGCTGGCTTGACAAGCTCAGCAGATGCCTTATCAGGCAGTACCAGGATAGAACCTAATGAAGAGAACAGCTCATTAAACCAGTTGGACATAGACCAGACCCATCCAGCTCCTAAAGAGCATGCGTGAGGACCAGAGGTAAAAAGTTCAAGCCTGAGGAAGCCTCGTTTACTTCATCTTGAAGACCCCTACCCACAAGAGGAAGACTACTTACTTCATCTGAAGACCCCTGCCCAAGGCCACCAGGAGGCACTGCGCATGCGTGGAGAGCCTTTTAGCTCATTATAATATGAATCAGGGATAGAATATGAATATGTATAGGCGTATTGTGCAGCCTAATACATATGTATGACTTTACAGGATAAATGTAGAAGGAAAACGGCACTGAGGTACGCATGCCTTATGGAGGGCCGATCCCCTGTGCGTCTTCAGCTGAATAAAGCATACCTACTTTACGACTTTAATGAAGTTGTGGAGTTTATTCCGCTATCAGTATTCACCACCTAAACCATCATTAATTAATTAATTACCAGTGCATTAATTACCATTCATAAACCCCTCCACAAGGGCACAACCTCCCCATCCCTCCGCGCTCCAAGATGGCGGCGCCGGGCTGTACCAACCGCCTCCTCCTCCCCTCTCCCCCCCCGTCCCAGCCCCGCAGTGGTACCGCCCACCCCGGCGCCGGAAGCCGGAAGTGCTCTGAGGATGATGAGGGGGGGCTTCCGGTATCGCGGCGGTGAGTGCCGGTAACGGGGTTCCCCCCACCCCGCCGTGTGCGGTGCCCGGGCCTGGTTCAACGCTCACAGCCCCTCCGGTGGGGTGCTGCAGTCGGGACCGACCGCGGGGCACGGCCGGGCCTTGCACTGGGAGCGGAGGGAGGCTCCTTGTCCCGTAGGCCGCGGCCTCCCCGTTGCCGTGTACCCGCTGTGTCCCGGTTGGTGGCACCGGAACGCTGCTGAAACCGGTGAGATCCGTGAGGGGGGAGCCCCTGCCCTGGGCTCGTTGGGTTCTCTCGGCTGCGTCCCATTGAGCGTGCCCCGAGCGGGAGCAGCAGCGCAGGGAGGGGATGGAGCCCCCCTGCGGTCCTGATCCAGCGCGGGGGGAACAGCACCAGAGGGACCTGGAGGTGATGGAGCGAGGCCATGGAGCAGCTCTGCTCTGGAGCCAGGCTGGGAGAGCTGGGCTGGGGCAGCCTGGACAAGAGAAGGCTCCTGAAGGGGAGACCTGAGAGCAGCTCCAGTGCCTAAAGGGGCTGCAGGAAACCTGGAGAGGGGCTTGGGACAAGGGCCTGTAGGGACAGGCCAAGGGGAATGGCTTGAACCTGCCCGAGGGGAGACTGAGCTGAGCTCTTAGGCAGAAGCTCTTCCCTGTGAGGGTGCTGAGGCGCTGGCACAGGGTGCCCAGAGAAGCTGTGGCTGCCCCATCCCTGGCAGTGCTCAAGGACACAGGGGCTTGGAGCAAGCTGCTCCAGTGGAAGGGGTTGGGGTTGGAGCTGGATGAGCTTTCAGCTCCTTTCATCCCAAACCACTCTATGATCCTATGCTCCATGCTCTCTACACCTTTACAGCAGCAGGGATTGAGCCTTCCCTTTACCACTATTTCTCCCTTTTCCCTCCTTGAGCCTCATTGATCACAAAAGCCACCCCATAAGTCCATTTCTGTTGGCAGAGGGATGAACTCACCCCCCTGTGTCCATAGCAGCAGCTTCCCTCTCTTCCCCATGGTAATTCCACAGACAAGTTTGGCTGGATCGTGGGTGAGGACGTTTGGTAACCCTGGGCCTTCCCTTGGCGTTCCATGGTAGGCGCAGAGCCTGACTCAGCATTGGGCTGCTTCACCCACGGGAAGGTGGAAGAGCCACAGCACTGGGATTCCCATTGTAGCTCCCTTTCCCTGCTGTGTCTCTCCCTTGGTTTTAGTGTATTCCCACATTATCCCATCCCACTTCTAAACTGCGACTTGAACATTGCTATTTCCTTAATAGTATCAGACAGCCCCAATTACTTGGGAGAAGTGATGGATAGCAGAGAAATAAGTCATGGGTAGTGCATAAAACTGGTTTTATTCCCTGATTTTAGTAACTTTTCACCTATTTTTCAAGTCCCAAGTGTCGGATCCTGTTCCCCATGGATGAATAATGACTTTTCATAGGGAAGCAATGGCACCCTGTATCCGGAAAGGGAAAAGAGCAGGCAAATGAGATGGGAGCTGAGGGCCAGGATTGGTGCAGGAGGAGGATGCTGCTTGGGGCAGTGTAATAAAGCTGCTTCAATCCCTGATAGGAGCAGTGCCTGCTGGCTTTAGGAAGCCTCGGTGTTATTGGGCTTCCTCCCTGGGGCAGGATGGAGACGCTGAGGACCCGCACGGTGCAGGAGCTCCAGGAGCTGCAGGAGAACACGGAAGAGATCGAGCGCCTGGCGCTGGAGTCGCAGGAGGTGCGTGTGGATGGAGGGGGGGTGAGGCTGCACCTCGGATCCTGGGCTCAGCTCTGGGCCCCTCACTGCAAGAGAGACCTTGAGGGGCTGGAGCGGGGCCAGAGCAGGGCAATGGAGCTGGGGCAGGGCCTGGAGCCCAAGGGTGATGGGGAAGGGCTGAGGGAGCTGGGGGGTTCAGATGGAGAAGAGAAGGCTCAGGGGGGACCTGATGGCTGCCTCCAACTGCCTGACAGGAGGATGGAGCCAGGAGGGGCTGGGCTCTGCTCCCAAGGAACAAGGGCTGGGACAAGAGGAACCGGCCTCAAGCTGCACCAGGGCAGGCTTAGATGGAGCTGAGGAACAATTCCTGCCCCATAGGCATTGGAACAGGCTGCCCAGGCAACCGGCCCTGCAAGTGCTCCCAAACCCTATAGACGATGCCCTCAGTGCCGTGGGTTAGGGGTGGCCTTGGCAGGGCTGGGGCAACTCGATGCTCTTCAAGGTCTCTTCCAACCTGGTTGATTCCCTCCTTCCATGCATTCCCCATCCCCTTACCCAGGTCCAGGAGCTGCAGCTGGAAAGGGAAATGTCCCTGGCTGCCAACAGGAGCTTGGCTGAGCAGAACCTCAAGTTCCAGGCGCCGCTGGAGACGGGGCGCACCGAGCTCTGCAGCAAGTACGAGGAGCTCCAGAACCTGGCTCAGAGGTGCCAGGAGCAAAAGGCAAAGCTGGGTGAGTGGTTGCCAGCCTCTGCTTGCTGATAGAGGCACAAGGGCTGTGCTTAGTGCAAGAGCCTTCCCTTCTGCTTCTCCCTCCCTTGGCCACGCTGAGCTCTTGGGAGTGGGGGCACACTCTGCTGCCTCTATTCTCCTGTTTCCCAGTCAGATCCAGTTGAGAGATCACCCAGCAGCTCCCCTATCTTGCTGCAGCAGTGCCCAGAACCTTTTCCTCTCCTTTTCTCCTTGCACCACCCCTTCCCAAGGCAGGAATTCCCTCCTGGCAGAGTGCAGCAGGGTTGGGTGCTGCTGCTTTCCTTTCCTTTTGTGTCTGATGTTGTGCTCTGCTGCTCTCCTTGTTCCCCCCATGCCTCCCCAGAGAAGTTCTCTGCAGCACTGCATCCCCAGACCTTGCTGGACCTCCTGCAGGTGGAAAGCCAGAAGATTGAAGAGGAGTCTGAGGTGAGCTTAAGGTTGAACTCCTTGAGCAAGGCAAGCAGTGAAGTCCTCATAGGTGTAGTGAAGGTCTTGAATCAAGGATTATCTCTTTGTGGTTTGGTGTTGGTGCTCCTAAAAGAACTGGATTGCCCTTTGTTTGGTGGTGGTGGTGGGGGTGGTGATGGTCTTAGTATGGAATGGGTTGGGTTGGAAGGGACCTTAAAGCTCATCCAGTCCCAACCCCTGCCATGGGTAGGGACCCATTCCACTGGAGCAGCTTGCTCCTAAGCCCCATCTTGAGCACTTCCAGGGATGGGGCAGCCACAGCTTCTCTGGGCACCCTGTGCCAGCGCCTCAGCACCCTCACAGGGAAGAGCTTCCTTAAACCCATCCCTGTTTCACTTCAAACCCATCACCCCTTGGCCTTTCCCTACAGTCCTTGATGTCCTGTGTGTGTGTCCCTGGGTTTGGGGGATGAAGCGCTCATCCTGGCTTCTCTTCCAGCAAATGGCTGAGAAGTTCCTGGAGGGTGATGTGCCCCTGGAGACGTTCCTGGAGCAGTTTTCCACCATGAGGAAGTTGGCCCATTTGCGCCGGGTCAGAGTGGACAAGCTCCAGGAGATCCTCAGGAAGTCAGGAGCGCCTCAGGAGCAGCCACCTCCTCCTGGACCTGTGCCCACAGAACCCCCAAAGCCCCCTCCTTCAACAGCTCCTTCCTTCCCCTTGCCCTACAGCCCAGCCCCAAGCATTCCAGCTGGGCCCACAGCACACGGAGCTCTCCCTCCTGCTCCCTTCTCTGCCTCCCCAGTCGCCATGGGAACCGCTGCTCCATCCCAGCCCACCTTTCCCTACAAACCTCCTCCAGCTCCTGGGTACCCACCGGCACAAGGTGCTGATGCCGGGTATCCCAAACCACCCTCAGGAGGCTCTGCTCCAGCACCAGGTTATTCCTGGTCTCCATCCAGGGGCCCACCACAGCCCCCCTCTTTTCCTGCCTCTCATCCTCCTCCTCCTCCTCCAGCACCCCCCAGACCCGGATACCCTCCCTTCTTCCCACCTGGAACAGCGAGACCCCAGTGTCCATACCCAACCCAACCTCCTCTCCCTAACTTCCCAATCCCCCCCCAACCTCCTTACCCTCCTGGAGCACCTGCACCCTTTGGGTTCCCCCCACCTCCCAATCCCCAGCGCCCTGCTTGGCCTGGCTACTAAATATGGGACTCCTGGCTCCTGGAATATGGGACTCCTGGCTCCTGGAATATGGGACATGCACTCCTGTCCCCTCCTCTGCGTTGGGGAGTGAGGAGGAAGAGTGATGCTCTTCAACCCATGCACAGGCAGCAGCACCGGGGGTCAGGCAGGTTGATGCTGTCCCCATGGGCCACATCTCGTCTCCTGAAGGTTGTGCTCATCTTGAGGGGCTGGAATGGCCAGTTCCAGGTGGATTCATCCAGGTTTTGGTGTGAAATCCAGGTAGACCCTGAGGTACTCAATGGGAAATGAGCCAGACCCCCTCTACACATGCAAGAGAGCATGAGTGTGCAAGAGTCGTGCTCCATGGGTCTCAGATGTCACATCCTAACCCTAAACCTCTCCACAAGTGTTCAAAGGACACTTTGGGAATCCTGGACAGTATTCCTGACACAAAACCACCCGCTGCTTGCCCCACATCCACTGGTTTGGGGCCCCAAAGCAGTGCTGGGATGTGCCTGGAAGCGAGAGGCAGAGCCAGCCTGCCTTGCAGGTCATTCCCAATGGGTTGTAGCAGGGAGAATGGATGAGCCAGGCCTTGGGATCTATCCCAGTGTTATCCTTGGATGTGGGATAACTTCCACTCTGGCTCTGCTCAAGCCCACCCCAGCGCTGCCTCTGCCTGTGTGGTGAGTCCTGGTGTGCTCCAAAGCAGAGGCAATTCCCAGTTTGGATGGGTCCCAGTGATCCCAGCTCACTGGGAAGCACAAACCACTGTTCCCTGTCCCAGCAAGGGTTTGGAGCCTCCAGTCCCTTCCCAGGGCTCACTATGGATATTATCCATGTTTTTGATGTAAACCAGGCTGGCACAGTGACCTGGGGCATTGCTGCTTTGGGATCGGGCAGCTGGGAATGGGAAATGGGAATTGATGCTTCCCACATCCCAACCTCTCCCATGGGGAGAATTGAGTTGTTATTGGGGTGCTCCAAGCTCCAGCCTTCCTTACATCCCCCTTCTCAGGTAACACTAATGGAAGGAGCACGGATATGGGAATGGGAATGGGATTGCTTTGCTCAGCACTTTATCCTCCAGCTCCTGCCTGTCTCCCTGTTAAGTTATTTATCAGGCATTGTTACTAATGGGCTAGGTTTGATGGAAGCAGTTCCATAGCTCTGGTTAATGGCAGTAATAAAACTCAATGAACTGTGCATGGGGTGGTTGCTTCCAGCTTGCATTGATCCTGATCCTTCTGGTTCCCAGTGGCATCCTCAGAGCAACTTCCTCTTGGTTTCATCATTGAAGCCTTTCAGTCTCTTTCAGCATCAGCTCCAAACTCCTCTTCCCTGCTTCCTCGCTCCCATTTTTCCTATGGGACCTGTTTCAGTCGGACCCCATCACTCCATCCCTGATGCAGAGTCCATCCCCAGCATCCCTGCATCCCCTTCACACACTGGAAGCTGCTCTGAGCCCTCCGAGCAGCCCCAATATTCCCAACCTGGATCCATATGGGAGCTGCTCCAGCTCCTGAGCATCCCTGTGGCTTCCTGCCCTCGCTCCACCAGCTCCATGGCCTGATGCTGAGGACACCACGGCTGGATGCAGCATCCAGGTGGGATGGATTGCATGGAGCAGAGGGGCAGCATCACCTTGGACCTGTTCTCCATCACTAGGAGGTCTCTAGCCTGGGAACAGCACTGGTAGGGTTAAAAGGAAGGAAACAAGATGTAATTCCTATAAAAATTCCCAATTTTATCACCGTGGTTGTTGGTTATTAAATACCCAACCCATTGCCAGGAATTCCACCCTCCCTGCTCCTCACATCCCTGTTTCACAGCTCCAATGGGATCAGGCAGATGGGGGGCTCGCGGCCTTTGTCCTGAAGCTTCTTGGCACAGGGCAGCCCCATCTGCTTTCAGCCTGGCCTGGCTAAGGAGCAGAGTGGGATGGATCTGGGATTGGAGGCATGGAGAAGGCAGTGATGCTGTTCCATAGGGATCAAAGCATGGCCACACCATTCATGCAGGTATGAATCTGCCTCTTGAAGCCATACAAAGAGCTTAAACCCCCTTCTCCTCACACTCCCCAATGGGAGAAGCTCACAAGCAAGGGGAAGCCTCCTTAGATGGGGCTTGAGCAGCCAAAGCTGGGTTTGGGATGGCTTCAAGCTGAGCTGCATGTGCTCATAGGAGAGCTCATCCCATCCCTTGAGGGATGCAGGCTTCCCTCTAGGGGAGCATCTCTTAGAGTCATGGAATGGGTTGGGATGAAGGGAACTTAAAGGCCATGGGGTCCCAACCCCTTCCATTGGAGCAGGGTGCTCCAAGCCCCTCTGTCCCCTTGGGATGGGGCAGCCACAGCTTCTCTGTGCCAGCATCCTCCATCACTCCCCATTCACCCATCATTGCATAGCAACACAGGAGGGTTTGGGTTGGGAAAGACCTTCCAAGGTCATCCCCTTCCACCTTTACCATAGGCAGGGACATCTACTTGATCCATTTGCTCCCTATGCTTCATCCCTCCCTTTTTCCCACATGGAAAAGGGGGACTGATGAAGGAGACAAAGTTCACCCCCCCCCGCCCCATAGAACGCAGGGAAAGGCACTAAAAGAGATCAATAACAGAGCTTTGCTGCCCCATACCCTGAGCAAGGGGATGGATGGGCTGGGGCTCACACTCTGCGTGCAGAGCTCAGCTCGTAGTCGCTCTCCGAGGAGTTATCCATAGGCTTGGAAGGTCCCAAAGCTCCCTCTAGGGCTGTGGGGGGGTGATGGATGCAGGCTCACAACGGCTCCTTCCTTCCCATTGGGAATGGAGCATTGAGGAGCGGGGTCCCAGCATCCCCCCGCACTCACCTGGGTACCCCGAGGGGTCAGGGCTCTGCTGGGGGGGCTCAGCGTAGTCGTTGTCCCCCCCCTGCAGCCGTGGTCTCGGTGGGGCGGTGCTGGTGCGGTGGAAGGAGACTGGGGGAGATGGGAAGAGGTGGGAATGGGATGGGGATGGGGATGGGGGGGTTTGGGGATGGAGCAGCCCCGTGGGGTGATGCTGCCTGCAGGGGAAGGGGCTGAGGGAAAGCAGTGGGGTCGGGGTCACAGCGTGCGAGGGGTCAAGTTGGTGGAAGGGAAGGGGAGAGCTCTGCCTGCTGCGGGCCCCAAATCAGCCTCAAATCAGCCCCAAATCAGCCCAAAACAGACCCAAATCAGCCCAAACCAGCCAAAATCAGCAAGAAACCAGAACCAAATCAGCCCCAAACTGGCCCCAAATCAGCCCCAAATCGGCTCCAAATCAGCAAGAAATCAGCCCCAAATCAGCCCAAACCAGCTCCAAATCAGCCTCAAATCAGCCCCAAATCAGCCCAGATCAGCGCAAAACCAGCCCCAAATCAGCCCAAAACCAGCCCCAAACCAGCCCCAAACCAGCCCCAAACCAGCCCCAAATCAGCCCAAACCAGCAAGAAACCAGCCCAAACCAGCCCCAAATCAGCCCAAACCAGCCCCAAATCAACCCAAATCAGCCCAAATCAGCCCCAAACCAGCTGCAAACCAGCCCAAAATCAGCCCAAACCAGCCCCAAATCAGCCCCAAACCAGCAAGAAATCAGCTCAAACCAGCCCCAAATCAGCCCGAAACCAGACCGAAACCAGCCCCAAATCAGCCCAAAACCAGCCCAAAACAGACCCAAATCAGCCCCAAACCATCCCAAATCAACCCAAACCAGCCCCAAATCGGCCCCAAATCATCCCAAACCAGCCCCAAATCAGCCCCAAACCAGCCCCAAACCAGCCCAAAACCAGCCCAAAACAGACCCAAATCAGCCCCAAACCATCCCAAATCAACCCAAACCAGCCCCAAATCAGCCCAAACCAGCCCCAAACCAGCCCCAAATCAACCCAAACCAGCCCCAAATCAGCCCAAAACAGCCCCAAACCATCCCAAATCAACCCAAACCAGCCCCAAACCAGCCCAAACCAGCCCCAAATCAACCCAAACCAGCCCCAAACCAGCCCAAACCAGCCCCAAACCATCCCAAATCAACCCAAACCAGCCCCAAACCAGCCCAAACCAGCCCCAAATCAGCAAGAGTTCAGCCCACACCATCCCCATCCCACCCCCATCCCCTCACCCGTCTGGTTGAGCCCCGTGGGGCCGATCCATTGGCGCTGCTTCCTCCTGGACCCTGGAGGGCAGAGGCAGGCGATGCGATGGGGAGCATCCCATGGCCCCAATGCCGCCTCCTCCTCCAGCTCCTATCCCCCCCTACCAGCCCTATATGTGATCCCCATAACCTCCTCCTCTTAATCCCTTCCTCAATCCCTTCTGTTTGCTCTATTGTGTGTGCTCAGTGCTTAATCCCCTTCCATCCCTTTCTCTGTGCCCACCCCATATGGGGCAGGCTCAGGGATAATAGGGATCAGTGGGGAGCATCTCCCTTGATGGAGGAGCAGGCAGGGATGGATGCACAGCAGAGGGGAGAGGATGGAGGGATGCAGACATGACCCCTACTTCTCTTCATCAGCCCCCTGCACACTGGAGGACCACAGAGGAACAAGAGGATGCTGAGGAGCAGCAGGGCCAGGCAGATGCTCGCGATGGTACCCACAGCTGGACCACTGGGATGCGGCTTCGAGTCCTGGCCTGGGGACAGAGCACCAATGGCACCGAATGAGACCCTTGCTGCTGATGCTGGGAGCTTGAGCACCCATTGGACACATCCCCTTTGCCCCAATGTCCCCCCATAGGGCTCAGCATCACCCAGCGGCTTACACACGACCCGGATGCTGGAGCAGCTCGGGGTGTCCCTAAGGGGGCAGAGGTGCAGGTTGGGCACCCCACAAGTGACCCCTATGGAAGGGGGGTCCTGGGTTTTGGTGCTGGATGAGAGGTTCCCGCAGCGCAGCTCCTGGCACAGCTCCCTGCCCCATTGCGCCCGCAGGGTCCTGTTGTCACACAGCACCCTCCAATGGCCCCTATGGAAGACCTCGATGTCCCCTTCGCATGGTGTGGGGCCGGATGCCAGCCTCCGCAGGGCCTTGGGTTGGGAATCTGGGGAGAAAGGGGGGGAAAAGAGGGATCAGATCCATAGGGATGCATTGGAACTGGCTGCCAGGGCTTGGGATGCTGCCCATGTGTGAGCCTGCATCCCTCGGGATCAGCGCCTGGCATCTCCGCTTCCCCTTTGTTCCATAGGGAGAATGCATTGATCTGGGGCCATGGCTTTGCAAGATGCTGCCGCTCATCCCAAAATCCCAGTGGGAATGCTTTGGGAAGGAGAATACCCAGAGAAGCTGTGGCTGCCCCATCCCTGGCAGTGCTCAAGGATACAGGGGCTTGGAGCATCCTGCTCCAGTGGAAGGTGCTGCGGTTGGGACTGGATGAGCTTTAAGCTCCCTTCATCCCAACCCATCCCATGGATCCATGCTCCTCACCGCTCTCCTTCCAGCCCCATGCAGCTCCATAGGGATAGCACAGAGCCCTTTGGGTTGGAAAGGACCTTGGCATCATCCCCTTGCTGCGGAATGGGAGCTGCTCCCATCACTCCCACCCCATCCCAGCATCCCCGTATCCAAGCCCCAACGGTGGCCATGGCACTCACCGGAGCACCGGATGAACGCAGGCTCCGCTCCGCTCCTCCCACTGCTCCCATTGAAGCACTCAAAGACATGGGGGCTCCCACAGGGCTCCATCACCTCCCATTGCACCGCTATGGGGCTGCCCCACCGCGGCGGTGGTGGTGGTGGGATGGAGCCGTGCAGGGCGCTCCCACAACCCAGAGCCCCACATACGTGGGTCGCCAGTGCCGCTGGGATGCTCCGGCCCGCGGCCACCGAGCCCCACATCCCAGCCTTGTGCAGCTCCAGGAAACCAGAGCAACCAGTATCACCGTCCACCAGGCGCAGCCGGGGGGGCCCTGGGAGGAATATGGGGGGGTCATTACATTATAAAGCAATAAGTCCCCCAAAGCATCACTTTCTGACCCCAAACGCTGTCAATGGGGTGAAGGCATCAACAAAGGGGGTCTGGGTTGGGTGTTGCTTCTTCAACCCGTTCTGTCATACCCAGACTGGGGCCTTACCGGTGGGCTCTGGTGTGGTGACTGGAGGAGGCACTGGGGTGGTTTTTGCTGGCTCTGAAGCAAGGATAAAGTGGTTATGGAGGGGTAAGGGCAGGGGTGATGGGTTCAGGGGGGATCCAGATTGGATGTAAGGAAGGAATCCTTCACTATGAGGGTGCCCAGAGAAGCTGTGGCTGCCCCATCCCAAGGCCAGGTTGGATACAGGGGTTTGGAGCACTCTGCTCCAGTGGAAGGGGTTGGGGTTGGAAATGGATGAGCTTTAAGCTCCCTTCATCCCACCCCATCCCATGGTTCTATGGCTGAAGAGAGGGGCCAGGTCCATGGGGATGCTGGTACCCAGGGCTGGGATCCATACTCACCGCTGCAGGTGATCATCCCACCCCATCCCATGGTTCTATGGCTGAAGAGAGGGGCCAGGTCCATGGGGATGCTGGTACCCAGGCCTGGGATCCATACTCACCGCTGCAGGTGATCATCCCACCCCATCCCATGGTTCTATGGCTGAAGAGAGGGGCCAGGTCCATGGGGATGCTGGTACCCAGGGCTGGGATCCATACTCACCGCTGCAGGTGAGGACCGCATGCTCCGTGCAGTTTGCCGGCTCCCAAACGCATCCCATTGGAGCATCCACCTGCATCAGGCACCGCAGCGGGTCCAGGGACGGCTCCTTCCCATTGGTGAGCACAAGGCGGAGGGGACCGGTGATGGGGGGACCGCAGCCCAGCCTCCGGCACATGCCATCGGCACCGGATCCAGTCACAGCATCCTGGCACACGCGGCTCCATTTGCCATCCCAGTTCACTTCCAGCATCCCGGAGCAGCGGCACCCGCCGCCAGTGAGGCGCAGCCTGGGTTCTGTGGGGAAAGCTAGGGTGGAAGGGGATTTACTTCCATCCACAGTGAGTTTGCCATGGGCATGTCCCCACCAGGGCTTCTTGGGGAAGGCCATGGCCAAAGGGATGCTGATGGAGCCATGGATAAAGGGATGCTGATGGAGCCATGGCCAAAGGGATGCTGATGAAGCCATGGACAAAGGGATGCTGATGAAGCCATGGCCAAAGGGATGCTGATGGAGCCATGGATAAAGGGATGCTGATGGAGCCATGGCAAAAGGGATGCTGATGGAGCCATGGCCAAAGGGATGCTGATGGAGCCATGGCCAAAGGGATGCTGATGGAGCCATGGACAAAGGGATGCTGATGGAGCCATGGACAAAGGGATGCTGATGGAGCCATGGACAAAGGGATGCTGGTGGAGCCATGGCCAAAGGGATGCTGATGGAGCCATGGCCAAAGGGATGCTGATGGAGCCATGGCCAAAGGGATGCTGATGGAGCCATGGCCGAAGGGATGCTAACGAAGCCATGGCCAAAGGGATGCTGATGGAGCCATGGCGAAAGGGATGCTGATGGAGCCATGGCCAAAGGGATGCTAAGACAGGCCAAGGGACTGGGATGGCCAAAGGGATGTAGAAGCCATGCCAAAGGGATGCTGATGACCACCAAGAGCCATGGATAAAGGGATGCTGATGAAGCCATGGCCAAAGGGATGCTGATGAAGCCATGGATAAAGGGATGCTGATGGAGCCATGGCCAAAGGGATGCTGATGGAGCCATGGCCAAAGGGATGCTGATGGAGCCATGGCCAAAGGGATGCTGATAGAGCCATGGCCGAAGGGATGCTAATGAAGCCATGGCAAAAGGGATGCTAATGAAGCCATGGCAAAAGGGATGCTAATGAAGCCATAGCGTGGTCCCCATCCCTGCTCTTACCTCCAGTGCTCGGGGCAGCTCCTCCATGGCTGGTGACGGCTGCAAGGAAGATGGGGATAGAGCATCAGTCGAGCTCCTCACCCCAGGGGACGTGGGATCCCCCCACCCGGGGCAGCAGCTCCCAGCTTGCAGCCTCTCAGTGGTTATTTTGGGGGAGAAAAGGGCATTCTGGGGGCTCAGATCAGCCTTGTGCCCATGTAATGGTGCTGCTGGTGGGTGGAAGCTGGTGATGGTGGCTAGGAGCTCCTTGTTTGTGCCATACCCGGCTGGGGGGGCACCCATGTCCCCAAACCCCATTGGTTGGGGGGTGCTTGGATCGTGCTGGGTTATTCCTTGGCAATAGGAGAGCACTTCCTGGCTCAGCTGGGGATGGAATGAGCTGGGAATGAGGATGGAGGGATGGATGGATGCGCACCCTGGGGACCCCTAGGACCCTTCCCTGTCCAGACCCCCCGTGCTTTGGGTTACCCCCAAATGATCACCAGCGATCCCCATAAGAAACCACAACCCTGAGCCCCCCCAATTACTCCCAACAGCAAACCAGGAGGGAGAAGGGGGGATCCCCATGTGCTTTGAATCACCCCAAAAGCCGGCTCCATCCCCATGAGCCCCATAGCCCCAGCACTCACCCCACATCCCCAGGAGCAGCAGCAGCAGGCTCCAGGATGCCATCGGCACGGCCGGCCCCGGGATGCTGCTATGGGGCCGGGGCGTGGGGCAGGCAGGCAGAGGCTGGTTTCCTCCCTCTGTGGTTTTCTGCGTCACTTCTGGCCTTGTTTGAAGCTGCCTCCCCACGTCCTGTAAAGGGTATGGGGGGAGATGGGGGGCTCGGTGCTCATCCCCTTCCTGGGTGCCCGCAATCTCTGCAGGGCACTTGGGGTAGGGATGGAGACAGGGATGGGAGCATCATGGGGGGCACTGGGGGGGACAGAGATGGGAGGAGAAGCTCCCAGTAAGGTGTTTCGGGAGCAAACGCACTGGATTGTGTGGGGAAACCAGTGTAACCATTAACCCAAGCACTGGTTCTGTTGGTGCTTCCTCCTCCTCCTCAGTGTGTGCTGGTTGCAGCATCCCCATCACCACCATCCGCGGTCACCAATGGAGGTGAGAGGCACCAGGGCAGGAAACGTGCCATGGTTGGGTGCTGTGGATGAGGGGATGCAGGACACCCATAGCACAGCATGGCACATTGGGATGGAGCCAGGCTGGGAGCACTGGGGCTGACTGGGGAGCTCAGAGCAGCTTCAGTGTGTGATGGGGATGCAGGGATGCTGGGGATGGATTCTCCATCAGGGATGGGAGTGATGGATGAGGGGTGATGGGTTCAGAGTGAAACAGGGGGGATGCAGCTTGGATGTAAGGAAGGAATCCTTCCCTATGAGGGTGCCCAGAGAAGCCCCATCCCTGTCAGTGTTCAATGCCCCATGGGCTTGGAGCACCCTGCTCCAATGGAAAGGGTTGGGATTGGAATTGGATGCTCTTTAAGCTCCAACCCATCCCATGGTTCTCTGATCCCATCCCACACCACTCCAAGCCACCCCAGCACCCAAAGCCCCGCTATGGCCCCACGTGCTGTTGGATGGGGAAGGCTTTCCCTAGGGCACATCCCCTCTTCTCCCCAGCGCTGCCCCTCCGCATCCCTGTGTCACCCCACAAGGACACACATGGGGCACAGCAGGAAGGGTCAGGGCATTGATCCGGTGCTATTGAACCCCTGTGAATCCAGGTCATGCGCGCTGCTCCCATTGACACAGCAATAGGATGGAGCCCTGGGGGGGCAGGCAATGAAGCATCCCAAGCGGTGCAGTGGGGTTATGAGAGCTCCCATCCCCTCCATGGGCATCCGGATGCTCTGGTTCCCCTGGGAGTTTCCTGCCCTTTGGGTTGAAGGTTTTCCATGACACAAGAGGATGCTCATTGGGTGCTGCGGTGTCTGTGGGTGCTGGGTGCAGGCAGTGATGCAGGGTGATGCCAGCACCATGAGCATCCCATCTGCAGCATCCCTGGGGATAACCCCGCTGCATCCCAGCCCCTTGCAGCAGGCAATGCTTTGGGATAGGGATGCAAGCCTTGCTCTGGGATTAACCCTTTCCATAGGGCTCAGTCCTATGGGCAGGAGCTGAGCCCCATCACCCCAAACAGACTATGATGCACCCTATGCAAGCCAGGATGGGGCAGCTCCACCTCCCATGTGTTACCCAAGGCTCCCTGACCCCCTCCAGCCCCTCTGGAGGTGCAGGCAGGGTTAGAGCATCCCTCCTTGCTGCAGGGGGTGCCATCACCATAGGGGTGATTGCAGCATCTCCCATGGGTGCCTGGTGGAGGGGGGAGCGATGGGATGCGCTCACAGGCTCCCTTTGGAGAGGCAGGGGATGCATTTGGTGATGCAGGAATGGGGTTGTCGGCTCCAACACTGCTGCAGTGGGAAGAGCCTGATGCAGGAGAGCATCTTCCCCATGGCCTCGATGGACCTGGAGGGGACACATTCCCAGTGGGAATCGGGGTGTCCCCTCCTTGCGCATTGATACCCCAAGGGCACTGGTACCCTAAATGGGAGCATCAGCATCCCCCAGGGCGGGATGGGGAGCACCAAGTGGTCCTGAGCGTGAATGCATCACACAGGCACAGCAGTGGGGGTGTGGGGCACCCCATTGTCCCCGCTGGTTGCTGGCACCCATCTCCTCGCTCCCATCCCTTTGTGTGGGGTTTTGGTGCTATTCTGGTGCTTCCGGCGCCGTTGTTGCGGTGCAGCCCCTTTGTGGGGAGCCTCTCGCCTCGGTGAGGAGCTGGAGGATGTGGTGGGGAGGCAGTTTCCATGGGGCAGGCTCTGCTGCGGCTCCACCTCGTCCTGGGGAGGAGGGGGTGGAGGGGAGAGATGGAAATGGTGGAGATGGAGGGGATGGAGATGGAGATGGAGGGGATGGAGATGGAAGTGATGGAGGTGACAGATGGAAATGGTGGAGATGGAGATGGAGGGGATGGAGATGGAGATGGAGGGGATGGAGGTGATAGATGGAAATGGTGGAGATGGAGGTGATGGAGGTGATGGAGATGGAGGGGATGGAGGTGATGGAGATGGAAATGGTGGAGATGGAGGTGATGGAGATGGAAGTGATGGAGTTGATAGATGGAAATGGTGGAGATGGAGATGGAGGGGATGGAGATGGAGATGGAAGTGATGGAGGTGATAGATGGAAATGGTGGAGATGGAGGTGGAGGGGGTGGAGATGGAAATGGTGGAGATGGAGGTGATGGAGATGGAAGTGATGGAGGTGATAGATGGAAATGGTGGAGATGGAGGTGATGGAGATGGAAGTGATGGAGGTGATAGATGGAAATGGTGGAGATGGAGGGGATGAACACAGAGATGGAGGTGATTGAGATGGAAATTACAGAGATGGAGGTGATGGAGATGGAGGTGATGGAGGTGATGGAGATGGAGGTGATGAACAGAGATGGAAGTGATGGAGATGGAAATTACAGAGATGGGGGTGATGGAGATGGAAATGATGGAGATGGAGGTGATGGAGGTGAAAAAGATGGAGATGGAGGTGATGGAGGTAGAAGTGGAGATGGAGGTGATGGAGGTGAAAAAGATGGAGATAGAGATGGAGGTGATGGAGGTAGAAGTGGAGGTGGAGGTGATGGAGGTGATGGAAATGATGGAGATAGAGATGATGGAGATGGAGATGGACATGGAGATGGACGTGATGGAGTTGGAAATTACAGAGATGGAGGTGATGGAGGTGGAAATGATGGGGATAGAGATGATGGAGATGGAGGTGGAGGTGGAGACGGAGATGATGGAGATGGATGTAATGGAGGTGGAGGTGGTGGAGGTGAAGGTGATGGAGGTGGAAATAATGGATATGGAAATAATAGAGATGGAAATGGTGGAGATGATGGAGATGGAGAGGGTAGATGGAAACAATGGAGATGGAGGTGATGGAGACGATGGAGATGATGGAAACAATGGACATGGAGGTGATGGGAATAGAGATTATGGTGATGGAGGTGATGGAGTGGTGGGGACCATCCCCATGGGCTGCATGGCCCATGGGGTCCCCCCCACAGAGACTGTGTCTCGTACAGCCCCCACACCACAGTGGGGTGGTGCCTGGCACCGGGTGATGTTCCCTTGCTCTGCATCCTACCAGGGCTTGGCTGGACCAGGGGATGCTGCAGCTTCCACCCCAGCATGGGGGATGCTGCATGGGAGGATCCATGCCTTGGGACCCATATCCCACCTCCTGGGCTCTGGGTGAGGGGGATAAACCCACCCTGGGCTGGATGTGGGCTCTATCCCACCTCGGTGTCTCTCTCACAGCCCCATATGGGGGTGAGAAGGGTCCAGGCCCCACAGCACCACCATACATCCAGCATCATTCAGTGTGCTTGGGTTTGGACCCTGGTGCCAGCATCCCTTGAGTCCCCCAGCACAGTGGGAAATGATGGAGATGGAGGTGATGGAGATGATGGAAATGGATGGGGAGGACCGTGGACCAGTAACCTCTGTATCCATCACTGTGTCACCATGGAGTGATGGGAACACTGTGGGACACCACTACTTCATGTTCCCCCTGCACTGATGGCCACTTCAATGCTATGGGGCTGGATCATGCCATGGGTCTGGTCTGCTCCTCACCATGGCTGCGACCACAGGAAGGACCACTTTGGGCCACTTATCCCCCAACTGGGACCCATTGGTGTCCCAGGCTCCTTATGGGGCTGGTGACCTCCATGACCAAGGGACGCAGGAATCCAGTGGGAAAAGCTTTTAATGGGAGCACATAACCCATCACAGTGCACTGGAGCAGCACCAGCACCAGTGTCTGACCCCAGGATGGAGGAGATGGATGGGGGAGACCCAGCAGTGCCAGGGCCCCCATTGGGCCCCTCAGTACAAGGAGCCCTGGATGTCATCGTAGTCACTGCCTTCGGAGGGGTCCCCCCCCATCCATGGGGCCGGGTCCCCCCCCATCCATGGGGCTGGGTCCCCCGGTGTCTCCATGCCCTGGCTCTCGGACCACTCCCCCGAGGAGGTGCTGGAGCTGTCGCTGGCATCGGGGGCTGCTGTGGATATGGGGACCCCCCCACATCCCCTATGGGGCAGCGCTGGGGGGGGCATGTGGGGCGCTGTGGAGATGGGGTCAGATTGGTACCAGCCCTCCCTGCTCCATCCCATGGGGTCTCTTCATCCCTATACCCGTCCCAACCCCTCTCCCATCCTTAGGGTCCCCCCACACCAGTTCCCCTCCCCAGGGCTGTCCCCATCCCTACTCCCATCTCTGCTTCCATCCCCATCCTTGGGGACCCCCGACCCCAATTCCTCTCCCCAGAGCTGTCCCCATCCCTATTCCCATCCCCTGGGGTCTCTCCCATCCTTGTGGCCCCTTCACCCCCATTCCCCTCTCCATGTCTGTCCCCATCACTGCTCTCATCCTATAGGATCTCTCCATCCCTCCATCCATCTTTGGGGTCCCTCCATCCCTGCTTCCATCCCCATCCCTCCTCCTATCCTTGGAGTCCCCCACCCCATTTCCCCCCTCAAGGCCTATCTCCATCCCTGTCCCTATTCCTACTCCCATCTCCATCCATCCCTGCTTCCATCCCCTTCCATCCTTATGGTCCCCTCCCCAGGGCTGTTCCCATCCCATTCCCTTGGGGTCCCCATGGCCACCCATCCCTCCAGCAGCACCCACCGGAGCCGGTGCAGCCGTGGGCAGTGGGTGCCATGTGCCGCTGGGTGCTGCTGTCAGGGTGCCCCATGCAGACCGATGGGGACACGGTGCCGTTGCAATAGGGCTCCATGGACACGGAGGAAGAGGTGGAGGTGGTGCCATGGGATGTGGATCCTGGCCTGGCTGGTGCTGTGGGATACAGGGACATCAGCCCCATACTGCTGGTGGCACCCAGTACGTCATATGGGATGAGCACCCAGCACATCATATGGGATGAGCACCCATCACCTGATATGGGATGAGCACCCAGCACATCATATGGGATGAGCACCCAGCACATCATACGGGATGAGCACCCAGCACATCATATGGGATGAGCACCCAGCACATCATATGGGATGAGCACCCAGCACATCATACCAACAAAACACCACACAAACACCCACACAAGGGATGAGCACCCACACATCATAGGTGAGCACCCACACTATAGGATGCAATATGGGATGAGCACCCAGCACATCATATGGGATGAGCACCCATCACCTGATATGGGATGAGCACCCAGCACATCATACGGGATGAGCACCCAGCACATCATATGGGATGAGCACCCAGCACATCATATGGGATGAGCACCCAGCACCTGATACGGGATGAGCACCCAGCACCTGATATGGGATGAGCACCCAGCACCTGATATGGGATGCCCCCCATCACCTCCTACCCTCCTCAGTGAACGGCTCCATCCCATCCCTCTTGGGCATCAGCAGGAGGAGCTGCTCCTGGGGCTGCCGCCGCAGGGAATCTATGGGGAAGGGATGGAGGGGCCATCAGTGGGGCCACCCCATGGATGGGGGCGATGGGGGTCCCGTGGTGGGTGCGCTGCTCACTGTGGAAGGTGGACAGGGCCATGGGGGGCTTGGTGCTGAAGTCATAGTGTTCATAGTCAGAATCGGAGTCGGGGTCCTCGGGATGGGCTGCGAGCAGCGGGATGCAGGGGTGAGATGGGGATGGGACACCCATTGCCCATAGGGAATGGGGTCAGGACAGACCTGGTCCTTTGGGAGCGCTCGGGGGCATCTCCCTGTAGTCATTGGAGGTCCTGGGGGACACAGTGGGGTGCTGGGCGCTGTGGGTCAGCAGGACCGGTCCAGGAAGCCCGAGGGAGGCCACGGTGTGGGCTATGGGACAATGGGGATGCAATGGCCATGGATGGGCTGGAAGCATCGCCCCATCCATGGGCAGAGCCTGCTGTGCCCCTATATGGGTTCCTTACCGCTCCTCTTCCTCACCCTCAGCAGGGCAGCGGTGAAGGCCACCAGGGTGAGGAGGAGCAGCGCTGCCAGCACCAAGCAGAGGATGAGGAGGGACACATGGAGATGGGAGCCGGATCCTGCATCCGAGGAGCCTCCATCAGCTGGGATAGAGAACGGGCACAGCTCGGGATACAGGGATGGGGAGCATCCGTTAACGGGATGCAGGGTGGGGGGAATGGGATGCTCACCTCTCAGGACCGTGGTGTTCGGTGTCACCGTTGCCATCGGGGTCGGGGTCTGCAAACCCAAGGAGCCTGGAAGGAGGGGATAAGGATGGGGGTCCCCATGGGTGAACACTCAGCACCCCGATACCCACCAAGGCACTGAGAGCAGCAGGATGGGGACCCCATACCATTGCACACAACCCCAGCCGCCCGGGACTGGTAGCAAGGAGATGACTTATTGAACACCCAGTGGCAATAGGCCAGCGATGGCTGGAGGCTCTCACACTTGTAGAACATCCTCCCCGGCAGCGTGTGCCCATAGGATAGGGTCCGGATTGGGACCCCACATCCCAATGAGCCGCACAGCACCCGGCGCTCCAGCTCGTACCAGGCGCTGTCACACACGGTGCTCCATGTACCACGGAACAGCACCTCCAGCCGGCCGGCGCATCCATCCCGTCGCCCTGACAACCGCCACTGGTGATGCTCTGTAGGGATGCATGGAGTTGGGGATGCTCCGATGCATCCCACCAGTGCAACCATCATGGGTTGGGTTGGATGGGACCTGCTCCATGGTTCCCTTCCACCGCCCCCATCCCACCAACCCACCTGAGCACACCACACCAGCATCCTCCTTATGGCTGCAGTCGTGCTCCCGCGCCGCAGGGCATTCCCACAGGTGCTCCTCGTGCCCTTTACACCCCATTTCATCCCGGAGGATGGAGCCGGTACCCCGGCCATAAACGGCATCACCGCGGGCGCTCACGGCACGGCCACACCGTAGTTGCCGGCACACGACGTCGGCATCAACCAGGTCCCATCCATCATCGCACACCGTGCCCCATGCACCCTCCTCTTCCTCCTTCATCTCCACCCGGCCCTCGCACCGGCTCTGGCCCCCCACCAACCGCAGCGCACCGGGACCTGTGGAGGCACAGGGTGAGGGTCCCCATTGGGAACAATGGGATGCGATGGGAGCATCCCAATGGGATGCTGGTCCTGTGCTGCTCACCTGGAGCCACTGAGGTGTTCCCTGTTGGGATGCTGGGGGATGCTGTTGAATCCATGGGGGCTGCAAGGAGGAAGGGGAAGAGGATGGGGATCAGGAATGAGCACCCATAAAATGATGCTGTTTTAGGGAAGGATGCTCAAAATGGCTTCCCCAGCTGCACAAAATGGACGGCACCACGGGGGGCCCCTTCTTGCACCCCTCAACATCAACCCCAATGGCCTTACATCAACCCTGGGATGGGAATGTCCCCCAGGCCCAAACCCCGGTGTGGGATCTGCTCATAGGATGGGGGAGGCAGAATCTGGCCCTAAAGGGGGTGATTTGGGGGGCAGGACTCACGGGTGGGGGAGCCGAAGCGTTGGGTACCACGATCCCGGGATGCTGCCGTGTCCCAGCTCGCTGTTCCTGCTGATGGAGAGGGGCTGTTGCTGCCTGTATCCGCCTGTATCCCCTCTGAACCATCACTCCAGGTGATGCTGCTGCCACCAAGGTCCCGCTTCAGGCTTTAGGACACCCCAAAGGCTCGATCCCATCCTCCTTGTCCCCTCTTTCCCATCCCTTTCAACCCACATCTACATCCAAGCCACTTCTCCATGGTTATCACTGGACAACCCCATCAATTGCTCCTTTGGGATGAAGGATCCACCCCCCTGGTTGAAGCTGAGGTGCTTTCAGCATCACCACCACCAAAACCATGCAAAGATGAGTTTTGACCAAAAAAGGGCACTTTTTGCCACTGCTGCATCCTCCCATCGTGCTGATGGAGCCCAGTCCTTGGTCACGGATCCCTCTTGGAGCCCATTCCCACCTTTGGTCATGGATCACTGCTGGAGCCCATTCCCACCTTTGCTCATCCATCACTGCGAGAGGCATCCGTAGGTGTTTAAGGGGATGCATTGGGTGGGTGTCTCAATGGGAAAACACCCCTTTAGGCATTGGGGTTTGGCTTAGTGTTAAAGGAGAAGGATAGGGATGAACGTAGGAGCTCGGGATGAGCTGCTCCATGGGGTCCTGGGGTTGCTGGCACCATGCTCGAGCCCAGAGCATCGTATTGAAGGCATGGGAAGGAGCCGTTAGCGGTGATGGGGACCGTTCCCCATGGATCCAAGGCTGCTCCTGGTACCCTCATGGGTGTGAAACCACCCTAACCCCCACTGGGGACAGTGGGGAACAAGGGGCATCATCACCAAAACCATCCCTGGGTGATGCTGGTGACACCAGGAGGGGGTTTGGTCCTGCCAGCAACAGGAAAGCATCCCCTTGTCCCTGCAGGGATGGAGGTGGGATGGACCTGAGGGCTTCCCAGCCCCGTATCCCTTACTCCCACCCAATGAGGGGCACAAGGAGGGCAAGCACCTCCCCAAGCACCATCCCTGTCCACACAGCACCCATCCAAGGATGCCTTACCCTGGACCACAGCAAGCGATGGGGAGGGAAGGGATGAGGATGCTGATGTACCTTGTCCAGATGCTGCAGCAAAAAGAGCCACCACGAGCAAGCAGATCCTCTCCATCCTCCTTAGCCGATGTGGGGCAGCCCCATAGCGGTACGGGGTGGGGAAGATGTGGGGTGCGTGGTCCCGTCCCCTTCTAGCAGCTCAGGGCCATGGTGTGGCTGTGACCCAGCGCGGTACCCGCTGCTCTTTGCCCCCTGCCTGTGGTTGGGGCTGCAGGAAGCCAGCTCAGCGCCGTGGGGCGGAGGAGCTCAATGGGGTGGCTCCATCCTGCACGTTCAGAGGGAGGAAATGGGGGGTCTGGGGGTGGCGAGGTCCGTGCCGTGCACCTCCAGCATCCCTTGGGGTGATGCGAGGTACCAGGACCATGCTCAGTGCCTGTGGGATGTGGATCTTCACCATTATGGGGCTGGGACAGCATCACACGGTGGGGCTCAGGTGTTAGGACCTCTATGGGGTGATGGAGCAGAGCGTGGGGCTCCTTCCTCCTCCTGTGGGGTGGGATGGGGGCAGGAGGATGCTTGTGAGGTGGGATGCGGGCTCTCGCATCCGGATCTACCCCATGGCATGGAGGACCATGGTGACCATGAGGATGTGCCACCAGTTAGCACTGGAGCAAGGGGGTTGGGTGCTGGGACCAGACTGGGTCCCATCCTGAAGGGCTCTTCCATAGCACAGGGGTGCCCAGAGATGCTGTGGCTGCCCCATCCCTGGCAGTGCTCAGGACACAAGAACCCCAATGGAAGGGACCCATGGAACTGGGTGAGCCTCGAGCTCCCATCCATCCCTATGGATCCCCAGGGGGTTGTATGGGCTTTGTGCTGACCCTAATGGGGTCAGACCCCCCAGGTAAAGAGGAAGCAGAAGGAAAGCCCCATAGCAAGGAGAAGCCACATTGGCTGATGGGGACCTTCCATCCTGGAGCATCCTTTGATGCTTGCATGGAGCAGGAATGAGGAATGGGGAGGTGGGGAGGGAGCAGAGCATGGGGCTGTGAGGAGCCAGCACCAGGCCCTTTGGTTCTTGATGGGGGTGATGGGGAGCAGACCCCTTGCATGGCCTCGGAGCAAGCAGCATCACATCCAAACTGGGGCAGCCCCTTTACCTGGGGGGCCTTTGCTTACCCATAGCAGTCCGATGCCTGCTTGGGTTCCTATGGGTCTGGGCTCTGCTGCTCTGATGATGCTGGATGGGAGCCGCATCCCTGTGGTCCCCATAGGATGCTGTGGGGATGGTTTGAGCCCCGTATGGGGCAGAGGGAAGGGGAAGGATGGGGGTGCCAGCAGGAGCAGGGCGACTCCAAGGGTGATTTGGGGGTGTCTTGGGGTCGAGGGGCTTTGGGATCCCCAAACAAAGGGACTTGAGGCTGTCAATGCAGGGGGGATGCTTTGCTGGAGCTTGGGGCAACCCCATGAGCAGGCAGGGATGAGCTGCATGGGAGGAAGAGGAGGAGGAGGAAGGAGACCCCACTCCCTAAGGCCACCCTCCTGGACCAGGCCATGCCATGCCCAGCTCCTGCATGGAGCCAGCATCGAGGGCAATGGGGTCAGGATGCTGATGGGGTCCTCTCCAACACTTTATTGCCTGTAGCAAGGTCGGGGTGACCCCCCCCCTATAAATAACAGCCCCCAGCACATGGGACAGGTACCGAACATCAGTCAGTCATACAAACCCGGATGTGTGGGTCAGGGCACCCAACACAGGACTCAGCATCACTATGAACACAAGGGCGCAATGAGACCCTAAGCAGTTAGGACACCCCCCTTTACAGGGGTGATGGCCCCAGACCCCAACACCATCACCACGGAGCGGTCCCCCAAGCCCATGTGTGTGTGCATCCCTATGGTGGCACAAGGCAGGTGGGTCCCTTCCTGCTTCGGACTGGGAGCACTGGGATCTCATCCCACCGTGCTCAGGAGCTGCCCCGGATCCTCTCCATGTAGCTACGGAGCTCCTCGGGGTCCCGCAGCCCCATATCCTCGCACACCCAACGGATGTCATCCTCGCTGGCCACCAGGATGGATTGGACATTGGGAACGGGCTCCTCTTGGGGGTCCTCAGCGCCTCGAGTTGGGGAGAAGGTGACAAATTCCACCCTCTTCCTCCTGCCCCCCCTTGGGGCTCCACCTTCCCTATGGGGCTGCGGAGCAACCGCCGGGCTTGTGGGGCTGGGGGTACCCCCATCTTCAGAACCGCAGCAGCAGCGCCCATCGGTGATGGGGGGCTCGGGTTGCCGCCGGTCCAGCTGCCGGCTCAGCTCCTCCTGGTCGGTACCCAACCAGACCCAGTTGTGGGGCTGTGGGGCCGACGATGGGGCCGCGGCATCGGGCAGCTCCTTCTGCTGGTAGCGCAGCACGAAGAAGATGCAGTTGATGAGGAAGATGAAGATGGCCAAGCAGAAGACCCCCAGCAGGACGTACATGCCGATCTCCAGGTCGGTTACGCGCTCCGGAGCCTTCACCATCTCCTCCTCCTCCTCACCAGTGTGCCCATACCCATCCTCCTCCTCCTCCGATGAAGACCCCATCCCTTGGAGCTTGGTGTTGCCCATCGCATCCCTCCTCCGTGGCTCGCTCCCGGCCGTCACCGCCTCTCCGGACATGGCCCCTTCCGCCCTTTGGAACGGGGACCTGGACCCATGGGGGACCCCGGTGCTGGTGGCGCCGTTACCCCCCCCCAGCACCTCAAGCCAAGCGGTGCCGGTGGCCAAGGCGGTGCCGCGGTGCCGGCCCCGGCGGCAGGGGTCTGGGGGGTGCAGGCTGAGCTGCAGCAGGGCCCCGCGCCCCGGGCCTTCGGCTACCACCCATGGGTGCGCGGTGGGGACACCCGGGGAGCCCCCCACGGTGGCTATGGTGGGGTCCAGCGATGTTAGGGTCAAGGCTGTGTCCTGCCACCCATAGAGCTCCAATGGGGCCAGTGTGTGGTCGGAGAAGGACAGCCACACGGAGAGCGTCGCTTCCTGCAGGGAAGGATGGCACCGGGAAGGATGGGATGGGGTGGGATGCATGGAGCTTAAAGCTCATCCCAACCCCAACCCCTTCCATTGGAGCAGGGTGCTCCAAGCCCCCATAGCCCTCACCTGCTTGGGTACCCGCAGGCTCCCTGTGCCCATGGCGCTGGCGGTCACCAGCCCCCGGTGCCCTGGCTCTGCCCGCACCACCAGGGACAGCCCCGACACGAGCTGGGCCCGGAGCTCCGTCACCGTCACCTTCTCATCCGACACCACCAGCGTCTGCTCCCCCAGGATGGAGTCTGACAGTGGGGAGCGGACCTGGGACATGGGGGGGGGACACACTGTGAGCCCTCAGGTCACACCTCCAGCCTCTGGCACCCCTGGCCTGGTACTCAGCAACTCCAGTTCCCTCCCTCCATCCCCTCCATCCCTTCCTCCACCCCTCCCTCCATCCCCTGCATCCCTCCCTCCATCCCTTCCTCCATCCTCTTCTTCCATCCTCCTCCATCCCTCCATCCCCTCCCTCTCCATTCCTCCTCCATCCCCTTCCTCCATCCCCTGCATCCCTCCCTCCATCCCTTCCTCCATCCTCCTTCCCTTCCTCCATCCCCTGCATCCCTCCCTCCATCCCTTCCTCCATCCTCTTCTTCCCTTCCTCCATCCCCTGCATCCCTCCCTCCATCCCTTCCTCCATCCTCTTCTTCCCTTCCTCCATCCCCTGCATCCCTCCCTCCATCCTCTGCATCTCTTCCTCCACCCCCCTTCATCCCTCTCTCCATCTGTTCCTCCATCCTCTGCATCCCTCCCTCCATCCCCTCCATCCCTCCCTCCATCCCTTGCATCCCTCCCTCCATCCCCTTCATCCCTCCCTCCATCCCTTCCTCCATCCCCTGCATCCCTCCCTCCACCCCCTTCATCCCTCCCTCCATCCCCATCCCATCCCCATTCCCATCCCAACCCCATCCCCATCCCCATCCCATCCCCATCCCCTCCCCATCCCCTCCCCATCCCCATCCCCACCCCATCCCCATCCCCATCCCATCCCCATCCCCATCCCCATCCCCATCCCCATCCCCATCCCATCCCATCCCATCCCATCCATCCCCATCCATCCCATCCCCATCCATCCCCATCCCCATCCCCCATCCCATCCCATCCCATCCCATCCATCCATCCCCATCCCCATCCCCATCCCCATCCCCATCCCCATCCCATCCCCATCCCCTTCCCCATCCATCCCATCCCATCCCATCCCATCCCATCCCCATCCCCATCCCCATCCCCATCCCCATCCCATCCCCATCCCATCCCCATCCCCACCCCCATCCCATCCCCATCCCCATCCCATCCCCATCCCATCCCCATCCCATCCCCATCCCCACCCCCATCCCCATCCCCATCCCCATCCCATCCCCATCCCATCCCCATCCCACCCATCCCCATCCCCATCCATCCCCATCCCATCCCCCATCCCCATCCCCATCCCATCCCCATCCCCATCCCCATCCCCATCCCCATCCCATCCCCATCCCCATCCCATCCCCTTCCCATCCCCAACCCCATCCCCATCCCCATCCCATCCCCATCCCCACCCCATCCCCATCCCATCCCCATCCCCATCCCATCCCCATCCCCCACCCCCACCCCATCCCCATCCCATCCCCATCCCATCCCCATCCCCACCCCATCCCCATCCCCATCCCATCCCCATCCATCCCCATCCCCATCCCATCCCCATCCCCATCCCCATCCCATCCCCATCCCATCCCCATCCCATCCCCATCCCATCCCCATCCCCATCCATCCCTATCCCATCCCCATCCCCATCCCATCCCCATCCATCCCCATCGCCATCCATCCCCATCCCCATCCATCCCCATCCCCATCCCATCCCCATCCCCATCCCATCCCCATCCCATCCCCATCCCATCCCCATCCATCCCATCCCCATCCCCATCACACCCCATCACCATCCTATCCCCATCCCATCCCCATCCCCATCCTCATTCATACCCATTCCATCTCATCCATCCCCATCCCTTCCATTCCCATCCCCATACATCCCCATCCCATCCCCATCCCCATCCCCATCCATCCCCATCCCCATCCCCATCCCCATCCCCATCCCATCCCATCCCCATCCCATCCCCATCCATCCCATCCCCATCCCCATCCCATCCATCCCCATCCCCATCCCCATCCCATCCCCATCCCCATCCCCATCCCCATCCCCATCCCATCCATCCCCATCCCATCCCCATCCCATCCCCATCCCATCCCCATCCCCATCCCCATCCCATCCCCATCCCCATCCCCATCCATCCCCATCCCCATCCCCATCCCCATCCCATCCCATCCCATCCCCATCCCATCCCATCCCATCCCATCCCCACCCCATCCCTACCTCCACCGAGGTGACCCCTGGCTCCAGCCCCACCACCACAGGGCCCGGCTCCAGCGCTGCCACCCGCGGGTCCTGGACCCGGGTGCGTGCGGCCACCAGGGGGGTGACATCGAGGAGCCAGGCGGGGCCGGGCAGGTACGCGAGGGGCCGGCCCCCGTCCAGCGGCCGCGCCGCGAAGTGAGCCAGGACCCGCAGCGCCGTGCGCTGGAACTGAGGGCGGCAGCCCCGGAACCGGCGGGGACCATCCCGGGCACCGGGAGCGGCCTCATCCGGAGCGCTGCGGGGAACGGGGAGGTGGGAATGGGGAGAGGGGAGTGGGGATGGGATGGGATGGGATGGGATGTGATGGGGATGGGGATGTGGATGGGATGGGGATGGGATAAGAACCCAGATCAGGGATACAGGGGATGTGGGGATGGGGATGGGGGATGGGGGGATGCGATGGGATGGGGATGGGGATGGGGATGGGATGGGGATGAGGAAATCCCAGTAGGGAGTAGGGGATGATGGGATGGGAATAGGATTAGGGATGGGGTGGGATGGGGATGGGAATAGGATGGGATGGGATGGGGATGTAAATGGGATCAGGATGGGGATCACAGGATCAGGATGGGATGGGGATGAGGGATGGGGTATAGGATGGGATGGGGAGGGGACTGGGGATGGGGATCAGGATGGGATGGGGATGGGGATAGGAATAGGGATGGGGGATGGGATGGGGATGGGGATGGGATGGGATGGGGTGGGGATGGGATGGGGATGGGGATGGGGATGGGGATGGGGATGGATGTGGGATGGGGATGGGGATGGGGGATGGGGATGGGGATGGATGGATGGGGATGGGGATGGGGATGGATGGATGGGGATGGGGATGGGGATGGGATGGGGGATGGGGATGGGGATGGATGGGGATGGATGGGGATGGGGATGGGATGGGATGGGGATGGGGATGGATGGGGATGGGGGAGGGGATGGGGATGGGGATGGGGATGATGGGATGGGGATGGGGATGGGGGATGGGATGGGGTGGGATGGGGATGGGATGGGGGATGGGGATGGGGATGGGGATGGGGATGGGATGGATGGGGATGGGGATGGGGATGGGGATGGGGATGGGATGGGGGTGGGATGGGGATGGGGATGGGGATGGGGATGGGAGATGGGGATGGGGATGGGAATGGGATGGGGGATGGGATGGGGATGGGGATGGACGGGATGGGGGATGGGATGGGATGGAGGGGATGGATGGATGGGGATGAGATGGGGATGGGATGGGAACAGGGATGGGGATGGGGACGGGAGGGATGGGGATGAGGTGGGGATGGGATGGGGTGGGATGGGGATGGATGGGGGATGGGGATGGATGGGGTGGGGATGGGATGGGGATGGGGATGGGGATGGGGATGGGGATGGATGGGATGGGGATGGGATGGGGATGGGGACTGGGGATGGGACTGGGGATGGGATGGGGGTGGGATGGGGATGGGGATGGGGATGGGGATGGGGATGGGGACGGGATGGGGGATGGATGGGGATGGGGATGGGTATGGATGGGGATGGATGGATGGGGAGGGGATGGATGGATGGGGATGGATGGGGATGGGGATGGGGATGGGGATGGGGACGGGATGGATGGGGATGGGGATGGGGATGGGGATGATGGGATGGGGATGGGATGGGGGAAGGCATGGGGATGGGGATGGATGGGATGGATGGGGATGGAGGGATGGGGAGGGATGGATGGATGGGGATGGGGATGGGGATGGGGATGGGGTGGGGATGGGGATGGGGATGGGGATGGATGGGGATGGGGATGGGGATGGGGATGGGGATGGATGGGGATGGATGGGGATGGGATGGGGATGGATGGGGATGGGATGGATGGGGATGGATGGATGGGGATGGATGGATGGATGGGTGGGGATGGGGGATGGGATGGGGATGGGATGGATGGGGATGGATGGGATGGGATGGGGATGGGGCTGGGATGGATCAGGATGGGATGGATGGAATGGGATGGGGATGGTGCGTGGATGGGATGGGGATGGATGGGGTGGGGATGGGGATGGGATGGGGTGGGGATGGGGATGGGATGGGGATGGGATGGGATGGGGATGGGATGGGGATGGGATGGGGTGGGGATGGGATGGATGGGGATGGGGATGGGGATGGGATGGGGGATGGGGATGGGGATGGGGTGGGGATGGGGGATGGGGATGGGGATGGGGTGGGGATGGGGATGGGGATGGGGGATGGGATGGGGATGGGATGGGGATGGGGATGGATGGGATGGGATGGGGATGGGGATGGATGGGGATGGGATGGGGATGGGATGGGGGATGGATGGGGATGGGGATGGGGATGGATGGACTGGGTGGGGATGGGGATGGATGGGGATGGATGGGATGGGGATGGATGGATGGGGATGGGATGGGGGATGGGGATGGATGGGGATGGATGGGGAATGGGGTGGGGATGGGGATGGGATGGGGATGGGGTGGGGTGGGGATGGGATGGGGATGGGGTGGGGTGGGGATGGGATGTGGATGGGGTGGGATGGGGACGGGGATGGGGATGGGGAGGGGGTGGGGATGGGATGGGGATGGGATGGGATGGGGGTGGGATCAGGATGGGATGGGATGGGGGTTCAATGGGGCCAGTGTGTGGTCGGAGAAGGCTCTCAATGGGGCAGCCCCTATGCACTGACCCCAGCGGTTGCTCCGTGCCCCACATCCCCATCCCTTGCTCTCACCTCTCGGTGCCGTGGGGCAGGCGCCAGCCCCGCAGCTGCCCCAGGGCCGTGTCCCCCAGCTGCAGGCGCAGCGGCAGCAGTGGGGCCCACACCGTGAAGCTCAGCGCCGCGTGCAGGCGCCGCCACCAGAAATCCACCCGAGCCCCCCGAGCCCCACGGCTCTCCTGGCCCCCCACGAACACCGCGGTGCAGGCGGCAGAGACCTGCGCGGGGAGGGGAGATGGGGGTAGAGGGGGGATGGGGGGATATGGGGGGTATGGGGGGTATGGGGGATGGGTATAAGGGGTATGGGGGGTATGGGGGGGATAGGGGTGATAGGGGGTATAGAGGGTATGGGGGGTATAGGGGGGTATGGGGGTATAGGGGTTACAGGGGGGTTTGAGGGTATAGGGGGATATGGGGGGTATAGGGGGTATAGGGGGCATGGGGGTATAGGGGGGATAGGGGTGATAGGGGGTATAGAGGGTATAGGGGGTATAGGGGCTATAGGGGGGTATGGGGGGGTATGGAGGGTATAGGGGGTTTAGAGGGGTATAGGGGGTATGGGGGGTATAGGGGGTATGGGGGGTATAGGGGGTATGGGGGGTAGAGGGGGTATAGGGGGTATAGGGGGTATGAGGGGTATGGGGGTATGGGGGATAGGGGGTATAGGGGGTATAGGGGGTATAGGGGGTATATGGGGTATGGGGGGGGATAGGGGGTATAGGGGCATATAGGTTGTATAGGGCTATAGGGGGATAGGGGGTATGGGAGTATAAGGGGTATAGGGGCATATAGGGGGTATAGGGGGGTATAGGGGGTATGGTGGTTATAGGGGGTATAGGGGGTATAGGTGGTATAGGGGGTATAGGGGGTGTAGGGGATACAGGAGTATAGGGGGTATAGGGAGTATAGGGGGGTATAGGGGCTATAGGGGGCTATAGGGGCTGTAAGGGGTATAGGGAGTATAGGGGGTATAGGGGGGTATAAGGGGTATAGGGGGTATAGGGGGGTATAGAGGGGCATAGGGGTGTCTATGGGGTACTGGGGGGATCTGGGGGTCCCGCTCACCTGCAGGACCTGCTTGTCAGCTGACTCGCAGCCGGGGGGCTCCGGGAGCTCAGTGATGCCCCCCCCCGCCTCCACCAACACCAGTCTGACGGGCACGAAGCGGGGGACCCCCGTCAGTGGGGCCGTGTTGAGGATCTCCAGGTCCTGTGGGGCAGAGTGGGGCTGGGAACATGGCTCCATATGGGGGGGATGGGGATGGCATGGGGGGGATGGGGTGGGATGGGATGGGAATGGGGTGGGGTAGTGGGAATGGGGTGGGATGGGGATGGGATGATGGGGATGGGATGGGGATGGGGATGGGATGATGGGGATGGATGATGGGGATGGGATGGGATGGGGATGGGGTGGGGATGGATGGATGATGGGGATGGGATGGGATGGGATGTGGGGATGGGATGGTGGGGATGGGATGGGATGGGATGGGGATGGGATGGGGATGGGATGATGGGGATGGGATGGGATGATGGGGATGGGATGGGATGGGATGGGATGGGGATGGGATGGGATGGGATGGGATGGGATGATGGGGATGGGGATGGGACAGGATGATGGGGATGGGATGATGGGGATGGGATGATGGGATGGTGGGGATGGGGGAATGGGGATGGGGTAGTGGTGATGGGATGATGAGGGTGGGATGATGGGGATGGGATGGGATGATGGGGATGGGATGATGGGGATGGGATGGGATAATGGGGATGGGATGGGATGGGATGGGATGGGATGATGGGGATGGGATGATGGGGATGGGATGGGATGGGATGGGATGATGGGGATGGGATGATGGAGACAGGATGGTGTGGGTGGGATGGTGGGGATGGGATGATGGGGACAGGATGGGGGGTACCCACCTGTACAAGGGGGACGAGAGCCCGGACATCGCGCTCCGACACCTGGATCTCCCACACCAGTTTATCCTTCTGCGCCTCGGGGTCCTGCCCTGGGTACTCCACTTGCCACGTGAGGGGCCGCACCGGTGCCAGCCCCGCGGTCCCATTCTCCACCACCACATCCAAGTGCAGGAACGCCTCAGTATCAGCCACCCTGTGCCACCATATGGGGGTCAAGCTGCGCTGTACCCCCCCCCGTCCCCACAATGCCCACATTGGGATGCTTAACCCCTATGGGGCGCATCCCTTACCTGGATCCAGCAGCAGCATCCCCGCTCCTCCGGCACATCACCACCACCGTGGAGTGCTTGGGACCGCGGCTGCGCTCCACATGCGTTGTCCATGCCCCGGGTACCCCGCTGCGGGCACCCATCACCTGCAGCCCTTTCTTGGCCTTGATCCTAATGGAGCATCCCCATCAGCCCCCATCCCTGTTATAACCCCCCCGTTCCCGCAGCATCGGGGGTACCCCCGCATCCTCTCACCGCAGCACCAAGTGGTCGGCGGTGAAGTTGTGCCGCAGGGCGATGCTGGCGCTGAAGCGATGCCCCGGCCGCACGCTGGCATCGGGTACCCGCAGCAGGACCTTGGGGTCCAACCTCACCTCCTGCCACCGCACCGCCTCCGCCGCCCGCAGCTCCAGGGAGCCCAGGGGATGTGGAGCAGCCCCGGCACGGCCCCGTTCCCGGTTCCCAGTGCGGTGTTCCCGGGATCCCATCACGCTGTACTGGAGCTGGGCCGGTGCGGGGGGAGCGGGGGAGAACCAGTGGGGGGGGATCTCCAGTTCTACCACGCAGGCGCCCAGGGGTGCCTGGAGGGGAGAGTGGGGTTCTGGTGTGTTCCGGTGCATCCCAGTTCATCCCAGTGCATCCCAGTGAGTCCCAGTGCATCCCGGTTCATCCCAGTGCATCCCAGTGCATCCCGGTGCATCCCGGTGCATCCCACTGCATCCCACTGCATCCCGGTGCATCCCACTGCATCCCGGTGCATCCTGGTGCATCCCGGTGCATCCCAGTGCATCCCAGTGAGTCCCAGTGCATCCCGGTGCATCCCACTGCATCCCAGTGCATCCCACTGCATCCCAGTGCATCCCAGTGCATCCCGGTGCATCCCAGTGCATCCCAGTGCATCCCAGTGCATCCCGGTGCATCCCGGTGCATCCCGGTGCATCCCAGTGCATCCCAGTGCATCCCACTGCATCCCGGTGCATCCCGGTGCATCCCGGTGTGTCCCAGTGCATCCCGGTGCATCCCGGTGCATCCCAGTGCATCCTGGTGCATCCCACTACATCCCACTGCATCCCGGTGCATCCTGCTGCATCCCAGTGCATCCCGGTGCATCCTGGTGCATCCCAGTGCATCCCATTGCATCCCACTGCATCCCGGCGCATCCCGGTGCATCCTGGTGCATCCCAGTTAGGGGGATGAAGGGGGTGAGCCCATGGTGGCACTGACCTGCAGGTGGCACGAGGCATGGGCCACCCGGCCATGGTGATGTGCATAGAGGGTGACATAGGGCAGGTCTCGGTCCTTGGGGTGATCCCGTTCCATGGGGTGATCCCATTCCATGGGGTGATCCCATTCCTTGGGGTGATCCTGCTTTGTGGGGTGATCCCAGTCTCCAGGGTGATCCCGTTCCTTGGGGTGATCCCAGTTCCTGGGGTGGTTTTGCTCCTTGGGATGATCCCTCTCTTTAGGTTGATCCCATTCCTTGGGATGATCCCAGTTCTTGGGATGCTGCTCCTTGGGATGATCCCAGGTCCTGGGATGATGCTGTTCCATGGGGTGATCCCTCTCTTTAGGTTGATCCCATTCCTTGGGATGATCCCAGTTCTTGTGATGCTGCTCCTTGGGGTGATCCCAGTTCCTGGGATGCTGCTCCTTGGGATGATCCCAGTTCTTGGGATGCTGCTCCTTGGGGTGATCCCAGTTCTTGGGATGCTGCTCCTTGGGGTGATCCCACTCCCCAGGACGATCCCGCTCCTGATGCTGATCCCACATTCCAGGCTCACCCTGCTCCCGCTGTCCGGGTGGATCCCATCCCTCGGGATGATCCCGTTTCCCAGCCATCCAATCAGGCCCATACAGATGGAAGAGCACACGGGCAAAGGGCTCTGCCGGTGACACGGAGCTCTCAATGGGGACAGCCCGCACAGCCCAAGCTTCCCTCTGCTCCCTCTCCATGGGTACCTCCTGCAGTGGGATAGGGATGATGGGAGCAGGATGCTGAGCATCCCCCCTATAAAGGATGCATGGAAAAAGGGGATGGATTTGGGGACCACTTTACCTGCCGGGTGCTGAAGGGGGGGTAAGTGGCTTGGAGCAAAGGTTGGGTACCGGGGTTGTGCCGCAGCATCAGGAAGGTCTCGGTGCGGGTATCCATGGAGGTGTTGGTTGGGGTATCCCGGTCTGCCCGTTGCAAGCGGTAGTATTCCGGTACCCCCAGGAGCTCCAGGTCTGCCGGTAGGAACAGGGGTTCCGGGGGGTCCCCGTCCCCTTTTGCTATGGGGAACAAGGGGGTGTGATGCTATGGGTGATGCCCTGCATCCGTGCTATAGCGTCACCCCAACTTCATCCCCGTTCGTAACAACGGGGGTGAAGGAGGAGGGATGCTGGTGGCATCATCCCGGTGGGATGCAGCGATGAACTGGGGAAAGAGGGGGGGTGATTCCCAATGGGAAGCAAGGAGGAATTCCCATTGGATCCCACGTTCCACACTGGAACTGGGGGTTCCGCCCCCACCCCCCCCCCCGCGATCCCGAGGGGATCCCAGTGTGGAAACGACTCCCGATGCGGGAATGGCTGCGGGATTGGGGGGGGGGGGGTGTGGAAAGGGTTCACCCCCTATCGCGATAGCGATCGCGATCGGTCCCGCCCGCACTCACCCGAGGAGCAGAGCAGGGCCGCGGTCAACAGCGCCAGTTTCGGGCCCGGGGTCGGTACCGGGGCCATGGCCGGGGCTCGTTCGCCGCTCCCGTTCCTCCGCCTCCCGTACAGACAATGGGGCCGGGGCGGGACCCGCACCGGCACCGCCTCGTCCCGCTGGGTCCTAAACACCGCCTCTTGCCCGCCCTGGGTAGCGCCGACCACCGAGGGCTGCTCCCATCCCGTTTCCTTCCTTATCCCCATTCCCATCCTGTTCCCCATCCTCATTCCCATCCCATCCCACTCCCATCCCCATTACCATTCCCTTCCCTTCCCTGTCCCTTTCCCATTCCCATTTCTATTCCTATCCCCATTCCCATCCTGTTCCCCATCCTCATTCCCATCCCACTCCCATCCCCATTCCCATTCCCGTCCCTTTCCCATTCCCCTTTCTATCCCTATCCCCATTCCCATCCTGTTCCCCATCCTCATTCTCATCCCAGTCCCATCCCTATTTCCCTCCCTATCCCCATTCCCACCCCATCCTCCTCCCCACTCCTATTCCCATCCCCATTTCCATTCCCATCCTGTCCCTTTCCTATCCCCATTTCCATCCCTAGCCCCATTCCCATCCTGTTCCCCATCGTCATTCCCATCCCACTCCCACCCCCATTCCCATTCCCGTCCTTTTCCCATTCCCCTTTCCATCCCTATCCCCATTCCCATCCTGTTCCCCATCCCCATTCTCATTCCAATCCCATCCCAATCCCATCCCCATCCCCATTCACATCGCCACCCCATCCTCTTCCGCATTATCCTGTTTATTCCCATTCCTATCCTGCTGCCCAATCCTATCTCCATTCCCAACTCTATCCTGTTCTCATTCCTTTCCCATTCCCATCCTGCTCCCTGTCCCTATTTCCCTCCCTATACCCATTCCCACCCCATCCTCCTCCCCATTCCACTCCCATCCCCATTTCCATTCCCATCCCCATCCCTTTCCCATCCTGCTCCCCATCCCCATTTCCATCCTTATCCCCTTTCCCATCCCATTCCCCATCCCCATTCTCACTCCAATCCCATCCTGCTCCCCATCCTCATCCTCATTCACATCACCACCCCATTCTGTTCTGCATTACACTGCTCATTCCCATTCCTATCCTGCTGCCCAACCCCATCTCCATTCCCAACTGTATCCTATTCTCATCCCCTTCCCATTCCCATCCCACTCCCCGTCCCCATCTCCGTCCCTATCCCCATTCCCATCCTGTTCCCCATCCCCATCCCACCCTGTTCCACATTACACTCTTCATTCCCATTCCCACCCAGTTCCCCAGTCCCATCTCCATTCCCAACTCTACCCTGCTCTCATCCCATTCCCATTCCCATCCCCATTCCCATTCCAGGACACGGGGTACCACGAGCCCTATTGAGAAGCCCCCATCCACAGGGATGGAGACAAGGACCCCCCTCAGCACCATCAGCAGGGGGAGAAGGATGAATTCACCCCCCCCACACCAGACTGGGATTGGGGGGTTCTGAGCATCCCCAAGGGGGTCCCCCCTGTATCCCAATGGGGATCCATGTGTGGAGCAGAGGAGCCAGACTGGGATGAACCCGGCTTTATTCAGACCCATGTACAAAAGCAGCTGACAGCGAGGGGGGGGCTGCACCCCCCCATAGGGTGAACCCCCATTTCGGCCTGAGGTCGGGAGCAGGGGGGTCCCCCCACACTGGGCAAGGCACTTTTGGCTTGGGGGAAGGCACTGGGAGCACGTCCCCAGCTTTTGGGGTGCTGCAGTGGGGGGGGGGGAGACACCTCTGTGTATGTAATGGGGGGTCCCAGAGGGATGCGTGTTTGGGGGTCCAGAGCCAAAGCAATGGGGTGCAATGGGGCAGCTTGTGAGGAGTGTGCTGGGGGGTATCCCTCCTCCCAGTTATGGGGTGTCCCCCCCCTTCTGCCATCAACGGGAGCATCCCCAGCTTTGGGATGCTGCAATGGGGGGACCCCATCTGTGGGATAAGGGGGTGCAAGGAGGGGGATGCTGGGGCGGTCCATGGGATGCAATGGGGCAGCTCAGTGGGGTGCACCCTCGGGGTCCCTCCCTCCTCCCTGGTCCGGGGTCCCCCCCACTTCTGCCATCAATGGGAGCATCCCGTCTGTGGGATAAGGGGGTGCAGGGAGGGGGATGCTGGGGGGTGTGCATGGGGTGCAATGGGGTAGCTCAGGGAGCGCATCCTCGGGGTCCCCCCACTTCTGCCGTCAATGGGGGGGACCCCCTCTGTGGGATAAGGGGGCGCAGGGAGGGGGATGCTGGGGGGTCCATGGGGCGCACCCCCGGGGTCCCCCCACTTTTGCCATCAATGGGAGCATCCCCAGCTTTAGGGTGCTGCAATGGGGGGGACCCCATCTGTGGGACCAGGGTGCGCAGGGAGGGGGATGCTGAGGGGTCCATAGGGAACAATGGGGCAGCTCAGGGAGCGCATCCTCGGGGTCCCCCCACTTCTGCCATCAATGGGAGCATCCCCTCAGCTTTAGGGTGCTGCAATGGGGGGGACCCCCCCTGCGGGACCAGGGGGTGCAGAGAGGGGGATGCAGGGGGGCTCCATGGGGCTCCCCCCGGGGTCCCCCCACTTCTGCCATCAATGGGAGCATCCCCAGCTTTGGGATGCTACAATGGGGGGGACCCCACCTGCAGGACCAGGGTGCGCAGGGAGGGGGATGCAGGGGGGGGGGGGGGTCCCTCACTCCTCCCTATTGCGGGGCCCCCCCCACCTCTGCCTCCTCTGCAGCTCCTCCACTTTCCACTCGAGGCTCCTGAGCGCCGCCTGCAGGCGGGGGTCGGGATCGCGCTCGGGGGGGGGTCCCAGGAGGGCCTGGAGGGCGCAGCTCAGCGCCCATAGAGCCAGGAGCTGCCCCGCCTGCGCCGTGGGGCTCTGCGCGGACCCCGCCACCAGCAGGAAGGCGCAGAGGAAAGCGCAGCGCAGCGCGGGGCCGAGCAGGGGCTGGAGCCGGGCCCGCAGCAGGGAGCGGAGCCCCGAGAGCGCCAGCGCCGCCAGAGCCCAGAGCAGCGCCCGCTGGACCGAGGGGGGAGCCGGGGCCGATGCGAGCAGAGAGGGGGGGCCTGGAACGGGAATGGGAGAGGGTGGGAGAGGGGAGAGGGGAATGGGGGGGAATGGGGGCAATGGGGGCACCTGAGTGCGGGACTGGTGTCACTGGTGTGTTACTGGTGTGTTACTGGTGTCACTGGTGTGTTACTGGTGTGTTACTGGTGTCACTGGTGTGTGTGTGCAGTACTGGTGTCACTGGTATCAGTGCTGTGTGTGTATGGGACTGGTGTCGCTGGTGTCACTGGTGTGTGCGGGAGTGGTGTCACTGGTGTCACTGGTGTGTGTGTGTGCAGGACTGGTGTCACTGGTGTGTTACTGGTGTCACTGGTGTGTTACTGGTGTGTGTGGGACTGGTGTCACTGGTGTCACTGGTGTGTGCGGTACTGGTGTCACTGGTGTGTGTGGTACTGGTGTCACTGTGTGTGTGCGGGATTGGTGTCACTGGTGTGTGTGGTACTGGTGTCAATGGTGGCACTGGTGGCATGATGTCAATGGTGTCACTGCTGTCAATGGTGTCACCGGTGTCAATGGTGGCACTGGTGTCACTGATGTCACTGGTGTCAATGGTGGCACTGGTGGCAATTGTGTCAATGGTATCAGTCATGGCACCCATGTGCGGTACTGGTGTCACTGGTGTCAATGGTGTCAGTGGTGTCACTGGTGTTACTGGTGTCACTGGTGTCACTGGTGTTACTAGTGTGTTACTGGTGTTACTGGTGTCACTGGTGTAATACTGGTGTGTTACTGGTGTTACCAATGTGTTACTGGTGTGTCACTGGTGTTACCGATGTGTTACTGGTGTGTCACTGGTGTGTTACTGGTGTTACCGGTGTATTGCTCGTGTGTTAATGGTGTGTTACCGGTGTTACTGGTGTTACTGGTGTTACTGGTGTTACTGGTGTTACTGGTGTTACTGGTGTTACCGGTGTTACTGGTGTTACTGGTGTTACTGGTTGTTACTGGTGTTACTGGTGTTCCCGGTTGTTACTGGTGTTACTGGTGTTACTGGTGTTACTGGTGTGCTACTGGTGTTACTGGTGTGTTACTGGTGTTACTGGTGTGTTACTGGTGTGTCACTGGTGTGTTACTGGTGTTACTGGTGTGTTACTGGTGTGTCACTGGTGTGTTACTGGTGTTACTGGTGTGTTACTGGTGTGTCACTGGTGTTACTGGTGTTACTGGTGTGTTACTGGTGTGTTACTGGTGTTACTGGTGTTACTGGTGTTACTGGTGTGTCACTGGTGTGTTACTGGTGTGTTACTGGTGTTACTGGTGTTACTGGTGTCACTGGTGTTACTGGTGTGTTAACTGGTGTGTCCCTGGTGCCACGCAGAGGCCCCCACCCCAGCACTCACCACTGACACCAGCAGCCGCCAGGAGCTCCCCCAGGATCCCACAGAGCGCGCCCAGAGCAGCCGAGAGCCCGCAGGAGATGGCCCAGAGGGAGCTGGAGAGGAACTGGGGGAGAGGGGAGAGGGGATGGAGCCCCCATCCCATACCCATGTGTGCTCCATAGGGATGCGCTATCCCTGCCATGCAGCCCCCATTCCATACCCATGTGTGCTCCATAGGGATGCGCTATCCCTGCCATGCAGCCCCCATTCCATACCCCATGTGTGCTCCATAGGGATGCGCTATCCCTGCCATGCAGCCCCCATTCCATACCCATGTGTGCTCCATAGGGATGCGCTATCCCTGCCATGCAGCCCCCATTCCATACCCATGTGTGCTCCATAGGGATGCGCTAGCCCTGCCATGCAGCCCCCATTCCATACCCTGTGTGCTCCATAGGGATGCCTATCCTCCATGCAGCCCCATTCCATACCCATGTGTGCTCCATAGGGATGCGCTATCCCTGCCATGCAGCCCCCATTCCATACCCATGTGTGCTCCATAGGGATGCGCTATCCCTGCCATGCAGCCCCCATTCCATACCCATGTGTGCTCCATAGGGATGCGCTATCCCTGCCATGCAGCCCCCATTCCATACCCCATGTGTGCTCCATAGGGATGCGCTATCCCTGCCATGCAGCCCCCATTCCATACCCATGTGTGCTCCATAGGGATGCGCTATCCCTGCCATGCAGCCCCCATTCCATACCCCATGTGTGCTCCATAGGGATGCGCTATCCCTGCCATGCAGCCCCCATTCCATACCCATGTGTGCTCATGTGTGCTCCATAGGGATGCGCTATCCCTGCCATGCGCCCCCATTCCATACCCATGTGTGCTCCATAGGGATGCGCTATCCCTGCCATGCAGCCCCCATTCCATACCCATGTGTGCTCCATAGGGATGCGCTATCCCTGCCATGCAGCCCCCATTCCATACCCCATGTGTGCTCCATAGGGATGCGCTATCCCTGCCATGCAGCCCCCATCCCATACCCCATGTGTGCTCCATAGGGATGCGCTATCCCCGCCATGCAGCCCCCATTCCATACCCCATGTGTGCTCCATAGGGATGCGCTATCCCTGCCATGCAGCCCCCATTCCATACCCATGTGTGCTCCATAGGGATGCGCTATCCCTGCCATGCAGCCCCCATTCCATACCCATGTGTGCTCCATAGGGATGCGCTATCCCTGCCATGCAGCCCCCATTCCATACCCATGTGTGCTCCATAGGGATGCGCTATCCCTGCCATGCAGCCCCCATTCCATTCCATGTGTGCTCCATAGGGATGCGCTATCCCTGCCATGCCCCCTTTCCATACCCATGTGTGCTCCATAGGGATGCGCTATCCCTGCCATGCAGCCCCCATTCCATACCCATGTGTGCTCCATAGGGATGCGCTATCCCTGCCATGCAGCCCCCATTCCATACCCATGTGTGCTCCATAGGGATGCGCTATCCCCATGGAGCCCCCATTCCATACCCCATGTGTGCTCCATAGGGATGCGCTATCCCTGCCATGCAGCCCCCATTCCATACCCATGCGTGCTCCATAGGGATGCGCTATCCCTGCCATGCAGCCCCCATTCCATACCCATGTGTGCTCCATAGGGATGCGCTATCCCCCGGATGGAGCCCCCATTCCATACCCCATGTGTGCTCCATAGGGATGCGCTATCCCTGCCATGCAGCCCCCATTCCATACCCATGTGTGCTCCATAGGGATGCGCTATCCCTGCCATGCAGCCCCCATTCCATACCCATGTGTGCTCCATAGGGATGCGCTATCCCTGCCATGCAGCCCCCATTCCATACCCCATGTGTGCTCCATAGGGATGCGCTATCCCTGCCATGCAGCCCCCATTCCATACCCATGTGTGCTCCATAGGGATGCGCTATCCCTGCCATGCAGCCCCCATTCCATACCCATGTGTGCTCCATAGGGATGCGCTATCCCTGCCATGCAGCCCCCATTCCATACCCATGTGTGCTCCATAGGGATGCGCTATCCCTGCCATGCAGCCCCCATTCCATACCCATGTGTGCTCCATAGGGATGCGCTATCCCTGCCATGCAGCCCCCATTCCATACCCATGTGTGCTCCATAGGGATGCGCTATCCCTGCCATGCAGCCCCCATTCCATACCCATGTGTGCTCCATAGGGATGCGCTATCCCTGCCATGCAGCCCCCATTCCATACCCATGTGTGCTCCATAGGGATGCGCTATCCCTGCCATGCAGCCCCCATTCCATACCCATGTGTGCTCCATAGGGATGCGCTATCCCTGCCATGCAGCCCCCATTCCATACCCATGTGTGCTCCATAGGGATGCGCTATCCCTGCCATGCAGCCCCCATTCCATACCCATGTGTGCTCCATAGGGATGCGCTATCCCTGCCATGCAGCCCCCATTCCATACCCATGTGTGCTCCGGGATGCAGCCCATTCCATACCCATGTGTGCTCCATAGGGATGCGCTATCCCCGGGATGCAGCCCCCATTCCATACCCATGTGTGCTCCATAGGGATGCGCTATCCCTGCCGGTTTTGTGTGTATAGGGATGCGCTATCCCTGCCATGCAGCCCCCATTCCATACCCATGTGTGCTCCATAGGGATGCGCTATCCCTGCCATGCAGCCCCCATTCCATACCCATGTGTGCTCCATAGGGATGCGCTATCCCTGCCATGCAGCCCCCATTCCATACCCATGTGTGCTCCATAGGGATGCGCTATCCTGCCATGCAGCCCCCATTCCATACCCCATGTGTGCTCCATTGGGATGGCTGTCCGGGATGCAGCCCATTCCATACCCCATGTGTGCTCCATAGGGATGCGCTATCCCGGGTGCAGCCCCATTCCATACCCATGTGTGTCCATAGGGATGCGCTATCCTCGGGATGCAGCCCCCATTCCATACCCATGTGTGCTCCATAGGGATGCGCTATCCCTGCCATGCAGCCCCCATTCCATACCCATGTGTGCTCCATAGGGATGCGCTATCCCTGCCATGCAGCCCCCATTCCATACCCATGTGTGCTCCATAGGGATGCGCTATCCCTGCCATGCAGCCCCCATTCCATACCCATGTGTGCTCCATAGGGATGCGCTATCCCTGCCATGCAGCCCCCATTCCATACCATGTGTGCTCCATAGGGATGCGCTATCCCCGCCATGCAGCCCCCATTCCATACCCCATGTGTGCTCCATAGGGATGCGCTATCCCTGCCATGCAGCCCCCATTCCATACCCATGTGTGCTCCATAGGGATGCGCTATCCCTGCCATGCAGCCCCCATTCCATACCCATGTGTGCTCCATAGGGATGCGCTATCCCTGCCATGCAGCCCCCATTCCATACCCCATGTGTGCTCCATAGGGATGCGCTATCCCTGCCATGCAGCCCCCATTCCATCCATGTGTTTACCCATGTGTGCTCCATAGGGATGCGCTATCCCTGCCATGCAGCCCCCATTCCATACCCATGTGTGCTCCATAGGGATGCGCTATCCCCGGGATGCAGCCCCCATTCCATACCCATGTGTGCTCCATAGGGATGCGCTATCCCCGGGATGCAGCCCCCATTCCATACCCATGTGTGCTCCATAGGGATGCGCTATCCCTGCCATGCAGCCCCCATTCCATACCCATGTGTGCTCCATAGGGATGCGCTATCCCTGCCATGCAGCCCCCATTCCATACCCATGTGTGCTCCATAGGGATGCGCTATCCCTGCCATGCAGCCCCCATTCCATACCCATGTGTGCTCCATAGGGATGCGCTATCCCTGCCATGCAGCCCCCATCCCATACCCCATGTGTGCTCCATAGGGATGCGCTATCCCGATGCAGCCCATTCCATACCCATGTGTGCTCCATAGGGATGCGCTATCCCTGATGCAGCCCCCATTCCATACCCATGTGTGCTCCATGGGATGCGCTATCCCTGCCATGCAGCCCCCATTCCATACCCATGTGTGCTCCATAGGGATGGCTATCCCTGCCATGCAGTCCATTCCATACCCATGTGTGCTCCATAGGGATGCGCTATCCCTGCCATGCAGCCCCCATTCCATACCCATGTGTGCTCCATAGGGATGCACTATCCCTGCCATGCAGCCCCCATTCCATACCCCATGTGTGCTCCATAGGGATGCGCTATCCCTGCCATGCAGCCCCCATTCCATACCCCATGTGTGCTCCATAGGGATGCGCTATCCCTGCCATGCAGCCCCCATTCCATACCCCATGTGTGCTCCATAGGGATGCGCTATCCCTGCCATGCAGCCCCCATTCCATACCCCATGTGTGCTCCATAGGGATGCGCTATCCCTGCCATGCGGTACCCACCTCGCTCACCGCTCGCAGCGGCTGCGGTCCTAGCGCGCCCTCTAGCGCCGCCCATGCGGCACTGCCCGCCCGGCTCAGGACGTCATCGCCGCCCGCAGCCCCGGCCCCGGTGCTCAGCACCAGGCCCAGCACCAGCCCCGACAGCGCATGCGCGGGACCCATCGCCAGCCCGGCCTCTATGGGGATATTGATGGGGGGGCCCGCCCCATAATCGGCCCTCGGGACCCCCCCGCGCCGGGCCCCGGCTGTTCCGGGATCTCGGCTGTGCCCTCGCCAAGGACACGGGGGGGGCGGGCATCATTGCACCCCCATAGAGACCCACACCCCCCCCATAGGGACCCACACATCCCATGGGGCACCCCACTTCTGATCACCCCCCCGTGCCCCATTTACCCCCCCCATCTGTTCTGACCCATTCCACCCCATCTCGCAGGGGGCACCCTCGGATCCTCCCCCCCTCCTCCATCCCCATGATCCCTCCTTGTGCCCCTCAGTGCCCCCCACACCCGATGGGGACCCAGTCCCACCGGGTCCCCCCCCATCCCAATGGGGCCTTCCCAATACCCCGGACCCCTCCAGTCCCACCCGGTCCCCCCCATCCCATTGGGGCCTTCCCAATACCCCGAACCGCCCCCCCCAATGCCACCGGGTCCCCCCCCATCCCATTGGGGCCTTCCCAATACCCCGGAACCCCCCAGTCCCACCGGGACGCCCCCATACACAGATGCCCCCCCTCTTGGGACCCCCCACAATCCCCTCAATGCCCCCCCCCAAACCAGGACCCCCCCAATCCCATTGGATCCCCCCCCATGGCCTCCCCTCTCCCGGGCATCGCTCACCGTCACCGCACGGGGGCGCTGCGGAGCCGCGCGGCCCGGAGCGTGCGGGGAGACCCCAATGGCCGCCGCCCGCCACCACCACCACCGCCGCCGCCGCGGGGCACGCCGGGAGCTGTAGTCCAGAGCGGCCGCGGGGCACCATGGGAGTTGTAGTCCCGTCCTCTGTCTCTATAGCAGCACCCCGTTTCCCTCAGCGCGCCTTCCGGACGCGCGGTGCATGCCGGGAGCTGTAGTCCACAGCGGCCTCGGGGCACCATGGGAGTTGTAGTCCCCTCCCCGCGGTCTCTATAGCAACGGGGGGAGGGTGTTCCCCATCCCTCATCGCCCCGTAGCGGGGCCGCGGTGCACGCCGGGATCGTTTCCGTTTCCTCCTGTGCTCCCGCGTGTGCCGTTGAGGCGGCGCGGCCTCTTACCGGAAGCGGAACCGCCGACACCGGAAGCGGAGCAGGCGGCAGTCGGTGCCCCGAGGCCTCCGCCATGGCGCTCATCTGCTCCAGTGAGTGCGGCCTAGGCCTCGCCGGGACCACGGGGGCGGGCGGGAGGAAGGAAAGGCCTCAGCGGGGGCCCTCCCGTTCATCCCTCCCCTTGTCCGCAGTCTCCAATGAGGTCCCCGAGCACCCGTGCGTGTCCCCGGTGTCCAACCACGTGTACGAGCGGCGCCTCATCGAGAAGTACATCGCGGAGAACGGCACGGACCCGGTGAACAACCAGCCGCTGGCCGAGGAGCAGCTCATCGACATTAAAGGTGTCCGCTTCCACCGGGCCTTGCAACGGGGCCCGGCGGGCTTTGGGGGGGCCGCTTTGGGGCGTTGTGGAGGAGGATAAAAGGGGTTGAGGGGATGGGGATGTGGGGGGGCCCCGTTTGTGGACGCTTAGGGGGAGCTGTGGGTCCGCAGCGGGGTGTAGGTACCCTAAGGAAGGGATGCCCGTGGGATTCCCTCTTCTTGTAAGCCAAGGGAAGGAAAATGGGTTGGGATGCAGGGATGGTTCTGGGATGGAGCATTGGGACTGCAGTTGATGCTCTCCCAAGGGATGGTTCTGGGATGCAGCATTGGGGCTGCAGTTGATGCTCTCCCAAGGGATGGTTCTGGGATGCAGCATTGGGGCTGCAGTTGATGCTCTCCCAAGGGATGGTTCTGGGATGGAGCATTGGGACTGCAGTTGATGCTCTCCCAAGGGATGGTTCTGGGATGCAGCATTGGGGCTGCAGTTGATGCTCTCCCAAGGGATGGTTCTGGAATGCAGCATTGGGGCTGCAGTTGATGCTCTCCCAAGGGATGGTTCTGGGATGGAGCATTGGGACTGCAGTTGATGCTCTCCCAAGGGATGGTTCTGGGATGGAGCATTGGGACTGCAGTTGATGCTCTCCCAAGGGATGGTTCTGGGATGCAGCATTGGGGCTGCAGTTGATGCTCTCCCAAGGGATGGTTCTGGGATGCAGCATTGGGACTGCAGTTGATGCTCTCCCAAGGGATGGTTCTGGGATACAGCATTGGGGCTGCAGTTGATGCTCTCCCAAGGGATGGTTCTGGGATGCAGCATTGGGGCTGCATTGATGCTCTCCCAAGGGATGGTTCTGGGATGCAGCATTGGGGCTGTTGTGCTTCCCAGGGATGGTTCTGGGATGCAGCTGGGGCTGCAGTTGATGCTCCCAAGGGTGTCTGGATGCAGCATTGGGACTGCAGTTGATGCTCTCCCAAGGGATGGTTCTGGGATGCAGCATTGGGGCTGCAGTTGATGCTCTCCCAAGGGATGGTTCTGGGATGCAGCATTGGGGCTGCAGTTGATGCTCTCCCAAGGGATGGTTCTGGGATGGAGCATTGGGGCTGCAGTTGATGCTCTCCCAAGGGATGGTTCTGGGATGCAGCATTGGGGCTGCAGTTGATGCTCTCCCAAGGGATGGTTCTGGGATGCAGCATTGGGACTGCAGTTGATGCTCTCCCAAGGGATGGTTCTGGGATGCAGCATTGGGGCTGTTGATGCTCTCCCAAGGGATGGTTCTGGGATGCAGCATTGGGGCTGCAGTTGATGCTCTCCCAAGGGATGGTTCTGGGATGCAGCATTGGGGCTGCAGTTGATGCTGTCCCAAGGGATGGTTCTGGGATGCAGCATTGGGACTGCAGTTGATGCTCTCCCAAGGGATGGTTCTGGGATGCAGCATTGGGGCTGCAGTTGATGCTCTCCCAAGGGATGGTTCTGGGATGCAGCACTGGGGCTGCAGTTGATGCTCTCCCAAGGGATGGTTCTGGGATGCAGCATTGGGACTGCAGTTGATGCTCTCCCAAGGGATGGTTCTGGGATGCAGCATTGGGGCTGCAGTTGATGCTCTCCCAAGGGATGGTTCTGGGATGCAGCATTGGGGCTGCAGTTGATGCTCTCCCAAGGGATGGTTCTGGGATGCAGCATTGGGGCTGCAGTTGATGCTCTCCCAAGGGATGGTTCTGGGATGCAGCATTGGGGCTGCAGTTGATGCTCTCCCAAGGGATGGTTCTGGGATGCAGCATTGGGACTGCAGTTGATGCTCTCCCAAGGGATGGTTCTGGGATGCAGCATTGGGGCTGCAGTTGATGCTCTCCCAAGGGATGGTTCTGGGATGCAGCATTGGGGCTGCAGTTGATGCTCTCCCAAGGGATGGTTCTGGGATGCAGCATTGGGGCTGCAGTTGATGCTCTCCCAAGGGATGGTTCTGGGATGCAGCATTGGGACTGCAGTTGATGCTCTCCCAAGGGATGGTTCTGGGATGCAGCATTGGGGCTGCAGTTGATGCTCTCCCAAGGGATGGTTCTGGGATGCAGCATTGGGGCTGCAGTTGATGCTCTCCCAAGGGATGGTTCTGGGATGCAGCATTGGGGCTGCAGTTGATGCTCTCCCAAGGGATGGTTCTGGGATGCAGCACTGGGGCTGCAGTTGATGCTCTCCCAAGGGATGGTTCTGGGATGCAGCATTGGGACTGCAGTTGATGCTCTCCCAAGGGATGGTTCTGGGATGCAGCATTGGGACTGCAGTTGATGCTCTCCCAGGGGATGGTTCTGGGATGCAGCATTGGGGCTGCAGTTGATGCTCTCCCAAGGGATGGTTCTGGGATGGAGCATTGGGACTGCAGTTGATGCTCTCCCAAGGGATGGTTCTGGGATGCAGCATTGGGGCTGTTTCTGATGCTCTCCCAAGGGATGGTTCTGGGATGCAGCATTGGGACTGCAGTTGATGCTCTCCCAAGGGATGGTTCTGGGATGCAGCATTGGGGCTGCAGTTGATGCTCTCCCAAGGGATGGTTCTGGGATGCAGCACTGGGACTGCAGTTGATGCTCTCCCAAGGGATGGTTCTGGGATGGAGCATTGGGGCTGCAGTTGATGCTCTCCCAAGGGATGGTTCTGGGATGGAGCATTGGGGCTGCAGTTGATGCTCTCCCAAGGGATGGTTCTGGGATGCAGCACTGGGACTGCAGTTGATGCTCTCCCAAGGGATGGTTCTGGGATGCAGCACTGGGACTGCAGTTGATGCTCTCCCAAGGGATGGTTCTGGGATGCAGCATTGGGACTGCAGTTGATGCTCTCCCAAGGGATGGTTCTGGGATGCAGCACTGGGACTGCAGTTGATGCTCTCCCAAGGGATGGTTCTGGGATGCAGCACTGGGACTGGTTTTGATGCTCTCCCAAGGGATGGTTCTGGGATGGAGCATTGGGACTGCAGTTGATGCTCTCCCAAGGGATGGTTCTGGGATGCAGCATTGGGGCTGCAGTTGATGCTCTCCCAAGGGATGGTTCTGGGATGCAGCATTGGGACTGGTTTTGATGCTCTCCCAAGGGATGGTTCTGGGATGCAGCATTGGGGCTGCAGTTGATGCTCTCCCAAGGGATGCTTCTGGGATGCAGCACTGGCACTGGTTTTGATGCTCTCCCAAGGGATGGTTCTGGGATGCAGCATTGGGACTGCAGTTGATGCTCTCCCAAGGGATGGTTCTGGGATGCAGCACTGGGACTGGTTTTGATGCTCTCCCACCCTCCCATTGACAGTTGCCCACCCAATCCGGCCAAAGCCTCCATCCGCCACCAGCATCCCGGCCATCCTGAAGGCCCTGCAGGATGAATGGGTAAGCCTTAGGGGCACGGTGCTGAGGCCCCCATGGTGGCCATGCTGGTGCTACCGGTGATGCCCATGTCCCCACCCCTCATCCCGGCAGGATGCGGTCATGCTGCACAGCTTCACCCTGCGCCAGCAGCTCCAGACCACGCGCCAGGAGCTCTCCCATGCCCTCTACCAGCACGATGCTGCCTGCAGGGTCATCGCCCGCCTCACCAAGGAGGTCACGGCTGCCAGAGAAG